TACCGGGACTTCTGTTTGCTCTCAGCGCTGACCTGATGAAGCCTGGGCTGGTCTCGCTCAGCCGTTGCTATTCCCCAGATCTACAAAGGGAAAGAAAGAATGGGGAATTCAGCTCCTTCTCCCCACTGCTCCCCACTTTGGACAGCTCTCAAGATGGCTCAGCCACACATGGCAGGCGTAGCAAGAGGCACATGAGAGTTTAGGAAGTCTTTGGGTTGCAAATTGTAAACCCTGTTGGCTTGCCCAGAGGCATGTGCCTGCAAACTGGTCCCTGGTCTCTATTTACTTTAGATAAAAGGGGAAACTATAAATAATGACTGGTCTAGAGAAGGTAGATTGGGAGCTAGCTGCTGTTCTCCCTGTCTCATAGCACAAGAATAAGGAGACATTTAATTAAGCTAAAAGGTGGAAATGTCATCACGGATTAAAAGAAATAATTTTTTTCACACCGTGTGCACTTAGCCTATGGAACTTATGATCACTGGATGCTGTTGAGGCCAAAAGTTGGCAAGATTCAACAAGAATTCATAACAAGAATATGGAAGGGATATCAAACCTCACACTTCAGGCTTAAGCCGCTAGCTATAGAGATCAGGATAAGACCTAATGTGGGAGGCAGATTAGCCCACATCTGCTACTGTGGGTTTCTTATACCGTCCTCTGGTGCATCCGGTGCTGGCCACTGTCAGAGACAGGCTACGGGGCTAGATGGACTAGGGGTCTGATCCAGGTCTCTTGTTCCCGGGACTGATGCCCAGGGCTGTGTCCTCTCTTGAAGAAGCAGCAAATCCTGTTACCCAGTCGGAGAGTTTGACACCGACCCCATCCCCAGTTCTGATTCCTTCCGTGATAAGCCCCCATCAAGCCACTTTCCCAGCACTAGACAACATTATTTCAGATCTCATTACACAGAACTAAATGTCCTCTCCAGATACAAGATGAGTTTGGTGCTGGCATGTGGGATTTAGGATGCACTCTCCGTGGCATAAAGACCAGGAAGTGATTTGCACCGTGAACCTGGGATGTGTGACTGGAACAAAGCCTGCAGATGGGGAAAGCACCCCAATGTAGTTAGCCCTGGGTACCACCGTGATCTGCAGAGATTGTGGGTGTGTCCCTCACTGGACAGACATGGGATGCTGTGAGAGTGTGGGCTGAGCCTGGAACAGACGTCCCTGGTAAGCATGGGAAAACAATGAGGATCCAGCTGTCACATGGGATCTACTATGAGGCTAGAGGCCTAGAGGGTAGCTGATCATTAGCTCCCTGGCTGTTTAACTGACCGAATTATATCACCCAAACAAGCCGGGCTGGCTGTTTGGAAGCAGGGGTCCCTAAGCATTGCCCTGCTGGGTTAACATTTAACTGCAATGTGCGTCGAGTGGTGGCATTATCCCCCGCCATGGCTCAGCAGAGGACGTGGGTGGCTTCCCCTGGAGAATGAGATGTCGCAGGTAGTGTGCGGTTCCTGCTCTCTGATCCGAGTCACACAGAAATGGGTCTGAGGACCGCGAGTGACGCTTCAGATAAACATCCCAAAGTTCAGATGTATCCCTAAACAAGGTGAGGCCCCCCTCTTCCACTAGTGCCCCTGCCAATGGGACTTGAGAAGCCACATTCCCAAGACAGTTTTGGAAATCTCATCCATAACGCATTAGCATAGATACCTGTCAGCTCCAGGCCAACACCTTCATCCCAGCTCCAAGGCCAGAGCCTCCTGCCTTTTCGGAGTCTCTGTGCTGTTGAATTTCAAGAGGAGGATGCGGAGGGAGAACCCCACAGACTCTGTTGATTAACATCAAAAACAACGAGGAGTCCAGTGGCGCCCTAAAGACGAACAGATTTATTTGGGCATAAGCTTTCGTGGGTAAAAATACCCCACTTCTTCAGATGCATGGAGTGAAAATTACAGATGCAGGCATAAATATATTACAAATATATAAATATCAGTATATATTATGCCTGCATCTGTAATTTTCACTCCATGCATCTGAAGAAGTGGGGTTTTTTTACCCATGAAAGCTTATGCCCAAATAAATCTGTTCGACTTTAGGGCGTCACCAGACTCCTCATTGTTTTTGTGGATACGGATGAACACAGCTACCCCTCTGATACTTGGATTAACATCGCCGCAAAACCACAGTCACATCACCTGCATGAGCTGGCAGCAGTGTTAGAAAGGAATGACAACCTTGTGGTTAAGGGACTGGGGAGATCAAGCTTCAATTCCTGGCTCTGCCAACCACTCTGTGCTTTAAAACAGGGCAAAATGAGCCTTGCCTCCCTCTGTTTCCTCTTCTTCTCTGCTGCATGAGAAAGGTAGGAAGTCTTGTGCATTGGGCAGTAGAGTGGGATCAGGAGATTGGGGGCTCTCTTCCTGGTGCTGCTACAGACTCCCTGTGTTTAAGGGGGCCATTCAAAAGGATGGCACCGCCAACATCCCCATTTCTTCACAGGTGCAATTTACACACGCATTTTGGTCCCTGCAAACTGAACATCTGGGGCCAATCGGCGTACTCATGCCTCTAATGCAATTGCAGGTGCGGCGTTGCCGACTCTTGCAATTTAATCATGAGTCTCATGATACTTGGTGTTGGTCTTAAACTTCCAACTACTAGAATCAAGAGATTGCAGGCGACATTCAGCTTTCACTGCGGGGGGGAAGGGGGGAGAGGAGATCTAGATGGAGCTACTATAAGGTGGGTGCATAACTGGTTGGAACACCATTCCCAGACAGTAGTTATCAGTGGTTCACAGTCATGCTGGAAGGACATAACGAGTTGGGTCCTGCAGGGATCAGTTCTGGGTCCGGTTCTGTTCAATATCATCATCAATGATCTAGATGATGACATAGAGAGTACATTTATAATGTTTGCGGACAATACCAAGCTGGGAGGGGTTGCAAGTGCTTTGGAGCAGAGGTTCTCAACTTTTTTCTTTCTGAGCCCCCCCACTCCTCCAACATGCTATAAAAAACTCCACGGCCCACTTGTGCCATAATCACCGGTTTTCTGCATATAAAAGCCAGGGCCAGCATTAGCAGGGTAGCAAGCAGGTCAATTGCCTGGGGCCCCCATGCCGCAGGGGCCCCCACAAAGCTACATTGCTCAGGCTCCAGCTTCAGCCCTGGGTGACGGGGCTCAGGGACCAGGGCTTCAGCCCCATGCAGTGAGGCTTCGGCTTTCTGCCTTGGGCCGCAGCGAGTCTAATGCTGGCCCTGCTTGGAGCCGCCCCCCCCCCCCAAAAAAAAACAAACAAAAAAAAACCCTGCTTGAGGCACCCTAGTGGGCCCCGGACCCCGATTGAGAACTACTGCTTTGGAGGATAAGATTATAATTCAGAAGGATCTGGACAAACTGGAGAAATGGTTTGAAGTAAATAGGATGAAATTCCATATGGACAAATGCAAAGTACTCCACTTAGGAAGGAACAATCAGCTGCACACATACGATGAAGTGAGCTGTAGCTCACGAAAGCTTATGCTCTAATAAATTTGCTAGTCTCTAAGGTGCCACAAGTCCTCCTTTTCTTTTTATGGATACAGACTCACACGGCTGCTACTCTGAAACCTGTCAAAATGGGAAATAACTGTCTAGGAAGGAGTACTGTGGAAAGGGATCTGGGGGTCATAGTGGATCTAGGGTGACCAGACCGGAAGTGTGAAAAATCGGGACGGGGGTGGGAGGTAATAGGAGCCGATATAAGAAAAAGACCCAAAAATCGGGACTGTCCTTATAAAATTGGGACATCTGGTCACCCTAAGTGGATCATAAGCTAAACATGAGTCAACAGTGTAACACTGTTGCAAAAAAAGCGAACATCATTCTGGGTTGTATTAGCAGGAATGTTGTAAGCCAGACATGACAAGTAATTCTCCCGCTCTACTCCACACTGATTAGGCTGGAGTATTCTGTCTAGTTCTGGGCACCACATTTCAGGAAAGGTGTGGACAAACTGGAGAAAGTCCAGAGAAGAGCAACAAAAATTATTAAAGGTCTAGAAATCATGACCTATGAGAGAAGATTGAAGAAATTGGGTTTGTTTAGTCTGGAGAAGAGAAGACTGAGAGGGGACATGATAACAGTTTTCAGGTACATAAAAAGTTGTGACAAGGAGGAGGGAGAAAAATTGTTCTTCTTAACCTCTGAGGATAGGACAAGAAGTAATGGGCTTAAATTGCAGCAAGGGCGGTTTAGGTTGGACTGTCAGGGTGGTGAAGCACTGGAATAAATTGCTCAGGGAGGTGGTGGAATCTCCATCATTGGGGATGTTTAAGAGCAGGTTAGACAAACACCTGTCAGGGATGGTCTAAATAATATTTAGCCCTGCCATGAGTGCAGGAGACTGGACTAGATGACATATCGAGGTCCTTTCCAATTCTATGATTCTGAGAAAAGCAATTTTCCAACGCCTTTGGATGCAGAGATTGTGCTCCGAGAGTAACCAAAAGACTCAGAAGCCAGAAGGCAAATAAAAAGAACCCAATGTTTTCTATTTTGTGAAAACATTCTTGTGATTTTTAAGCCAATATCATGATTTTTGGGGAGCAGGGAAGGGGTGACTTTTGATTTTTGAACATTCAGGGCTGACCCTGCAGCTGATGGAAAATAGATTGTAAGCTCCCTAGGGAAAAGAGCGTCTTTTGGTCGGTGCTTGTACAGCACCTAGCCCAATGCGATCCTGGTCTGTGTCTCCTTGTCGCTACCATGATCATAATTAATAATAAGTGGATGCCAATGTCGCAAGGGCCCTTCCCCTCTCTGTGCCCCACTCAGCTGCTACTTCTCGGGGCCGTGGGGCTGGCCAGGCCCGGCCCTTCGATGTCCCAAGTCACTTGGATGCCAGTGATGACGCCCCATGGAAACAAATGCCTAGAAACGGCAGCAGCCCATGATGGACCACTCACCTGCCCCAGGTGAGCAGGGCTAGGCTCCTCCCCCCGGAGCCCATCCTCCAATGGGAGCAGCAGGTTGGCCCCGCCTATCCAATCAGGGGGCGGGGGCGCCTCAAGATGGCTGCGTCCAGGCAGCCGCCTTTCTGCCACGTGGCGGGCCGGGAGCCGCCGGAGGCCGCCCCCGAGGGGCTGGAGGCCGTGTTCCCCCGGGAGGTCGGGCTCTTCGCCGACGACTTCCCCGAGGAGACCTGCTTCAGCTTCTGCGGCCACGTGTTAACCATCGCCCAGCACCACGGGGGCCGGCTCGGGGTGGCAGCGCCCGTCTGGAGGCGGTGAGGGGCAGGGTGCAGAGGAGCCCGGTGGGGAGGGCGGGTGAAATGTGGGGGCTGGGTGCAGGGGGGATTGGGAGATGGATGCAGTGTGTGTGTGGGGGGGTGGATGCCCTAAAGTGCAAGGGGAGGATTAGCTGCGAGATTAGGAGGCTCTGGGGAGGGCTGGCTTGGAGGTGGTGGGAGCAGGGATGGAGGGGGAAAGTGGGGGGGGGAGATAGGATGTTTGGCAAGGAGGTGGGGAGAGCTGGAACGTGGGAGTTGGCTGGAAACCTTTGCGCTCTGGGGATGGGGCATCCCACAGCACACGGAGCGGGGACTGGTGGGGGCTCAGCACAAAGTGGAGGTGTGTCCCCCAGTGCCTGTAGGGCGTCTTGGTGCCCCTATTCATGGGGAGCAGCAGGTTCATCAGATAAAGTGGGGGCTCTCTGTGTGGCTCCGGAGATGTCCCTGGCCTTGGGAAGCTGTAGCCTCTCAACTGTTCCTCTGTCTACCCCAAAGTTCCTGTTCTTCAGCTGCAAATCCTGTCTATTTTAGGTTTCAGAGTAACAGCCGTGTTAGTCTGTTTTTGCAAAAAGAAAAGGAGTACTTGTGGCACCTTAGAGACTAACCAATTTATTTGAGCATAAGCTTTCGTGAGCTACAGCTCACTTCATCGGATGCATAAGCTTTCGTGAGCTACAGCTCACTTCAACCTGTGGCCCATCTAATTCAGAATCCCGTCTTTGTCAGTGGCCAATACTTCAAAGACAGGTGCAAGAAGCCCTGTAACAGGTCATTAAGAAATAACCACTCTGGAGGGGAAGTTTCTCCCTAAATCTGTCAATTAAGAGTCAGTGCAAGAGGATCTGTCTCCCTTATGCTTTTGTTCTCTTGTCCTGTATATCACCGGATGGCCCCATTCTCCATCTGTGTCTCTGCGCTGAAGGCTCTAACCCTGTGTAAATATTTTGAGAAGCAGAAGCTCAACTTCCGGGGCAAGAAGGTGATTGAGCTGGGTGCTGGGACGGGCATCGTTGGCATCCTTGCCACCCTGCTCGGTAGGTACAGTTGCTTGACAGCTGAGCTGAAGCATGGGGGCGGGGTAGTCATGCATCTGATCTGTGGCATTTCTAAACTACCTATCACCATAGTCTAACTCCCTAAATGGGACCTGATGCAGACACGCTGTACAGAGAGACCTATTGATTGTTTTTTTAACTGGCCTGCTGGCGAAAGCTCACAGGTGTGCCCAACTTTGCTAATATAAAGATGGAATCAGCAGCTTCGTGGAAGTCCAAGGGCCTCATCTGCATACAGGGTGGCAAAGATTACAGCTGCCCCCATATTTAGTACAGCCTGTAGGTTAAAGAGGATGGCAGCTGCAGGCTCAGCGTGCTGGGCCTCCTCTATCCCTGCATTAGCTAGTATGTATAGACAGCCTGGGGATGGGACAAATGGGTCTGTTGCATGGTCGTGCATCCGGGAAGCCAATGAAAATCCTGCAACGTCTGGATAATGCATACCGGGAGGGTTTGATTCTCCTAACCAACACCCACGCCTTCTGGGTTGCTCTTGTCTTTTCCAGGAGGAGATGTAACCATCACAGATCTCCCTCTGGCTTTGGAGCAGATACAGGAGAACGTCCAAAAGAATGTGCCAGCAGAGCATTCGGCTCGGGCCAAAGTTTGTGCTCTGTCTTGGGGTCTGGACCACAAGGAGTTCCTGAGAGACTATGACTTCATCCTGGGCGCAGACATAGTCTACCTGAAAGACACGTACCCTTTGCTAATCAAGACCCTCCAGCACCTCTGTGGCCCTCATTCAACCATCTACCTGTCTTCCAAAATGCGGCAGGAGCACAGCACAGATGTGTTCTACGAGGCACTGCTCCCGCTGCACTTCACTTCAGAACTGGCCTATAGAGATGAAAATGAGAATATTAACATATATAGAGTCACCAGCAAGCAGAATAGCTGAGGTTAGGGCAGACCTTTCTCCCTGGCTGGAAAGGGACAGACACAACATGGCCTTTGGCTTTTCCAAACTGAGAGCCATGATCCCAGCTGAGTGAGCCACCAGCAGCCAAAATGGAGTACACAGCATGGGTGCTGACTCTGCCTAGCTAAGGATGCAGAGGGCCAGATTCCTCCGTTCTGCCAGCAATATGAACCCAAGATGTTACCACCACCACCTTCAAGCTGGGGAGAGAAGCTCGGTTTTAGCTTTGCCCCAGACCTGGAGACAGAGTTTCTTACTGTCAGTGGAAGTTTTAAAAGCCAAGATCTTAAAGAGGATGGCTGTTTTAGGCCCATCCCTGGAACCCTGGCCTTCCAAGCCAAATTCCCTTCTGCCACTGAAGCAAGCCAAGTGACTTGAAACCACCGAGAGCATTAAACGTCTCTTAAGAGACACCACGGTGCCTTGTTCCTATAATTTGGCTAAATATATTTTTTTCATTGCTTTCATATTTGAATTAAAGGTGTATTTCATGTGTCACGCCTCCTTGGGAATTGTGGGGATGGGAAAAAGAGTTCAAATCAAACTGTAAATGACTACAAACCATTTTGTACAACCACACGTTGTCTTGGGTTAGGCTCTGGACCTCTAGGTGGCAATGCAGCTCTGCTTATGTGCAGGATACATTTCTTCTCTCAAGAGGTAATGAAGGCTCTCCCTTGGGTTTTATTTAAGTAGAAATGGATGCGTGAGCACTCAGTGTCTTAAAGGTTGCACGTGCTGTAGGAACTACCCTCAGCCTCTGCCCCACGCCCAGCCACGTTCCAGGGAGGAGGGGCACTTTCTTGGCTGCTGATCAGTGTCAGCTACCCCTGTGTACACCCTTCACTTTTACCCCGCATGGGTGGTGCTTTCCCTCTAAGGTGCCACAAGTACTCCTTTTTTTTTGCGAACATAGACTAGCACGGCTGCTACTCTGGAACCTGACTACCTACCTTAAAACTACATAGAAATGTTCCCTTCCGGGAGAAAGCCTTGGGGCTCTATCAAACGGGCATGTCTGTGTGTATAGCAGGCGGGTTTTGTCACAACGCACACGGGAAGAGCTGAGGCAAGAGGACTTGCACCGATTCACTCCACCCTGCAGGCAGCCTGAGTGTGTTACACGGGGCTGATATGACTCCAGCAGGGCAATGAGCAGTTGGCCCCCAGCATGCTATGGGCCAGGCTTTGCTGCACCCTCCCTTTCTAGGGTTAATTGGTCATGAAGGGGAGAGCACAGGCTAGAGGATGGGGCCTCGGGACTCCTGGGTTCTATGGCTGGTCTTTGGGGCAATCCTGGGAGGGGAGGCAGGACTCCTGGGTTCCATTCCTGGCTGGGGGAGGGGAGGGGAGGCAGGACTCCTGGGTTCCATTCCTGGCTGGGGGAGGGGAGGGGAGGGGAGGCAGGACTCCTGGGTTCCCCAGGTGGGAGGGGCATGGGCTGGAGGTACAGGGAGGAGGGGGGCAGGGTAGCCTTTGGGGGTGGGAGATGTAAATGAGCAGAAGGTCCGTTGTCCCGCCCTCCCTGCTCCAGCAGCCAATGAAACGGCTCGTTCCCTCCCCCGCCTCCCTGCCATTGGCTTCCGTCGTCACCCTCCGCGACGGCCAATCGGCTGCGCGAGGCTTCACGGCGCCGACGCGATCGGTGGGGTGGCGGAGGCCCCTCTTGCGCACGCACCCTTGGGCTGGCGGCTCGCGCCGGCGCCTATAGGCTGCGCGGCGTGTGACGTATAACGTGCGCGCCGTGGCGGCCGGCCCCAGGATGCAGCGGGCGGCGCTGACCGGAGTTTGCGGCCCCCTGCGCGGGGGGGCCCGACCGCGGCCGGTGAGGGGGGGGGGGGGCCGGGGCCGGGGCCTTGCCCCTCCCCCGCCCCCGCGAGCTGGTCCCAGCCCCTCGGCTCCCCTGTGCGCCCCTCCCCCTCTAGCCTATCCTGGCTCCTGGGGCGGGGCAGGACGCCTGGGTTCCCGACTCGGGGTAGCCCCCCCCCCCCCCGCGAGTGGGAGGCGCCGGGAGACCCCTGGGATGAGGCGTCCCGGGGCTGTCACTGCAGCCACGTGCTGCCCCAGGCCGAGGGCCTTGTGCGGGCCCCTCCTGAGCCTGTGCATCAACGAGCAGCAGGGTGGGTGGGAGGCAGTAAGGCGCATGTAGCCTTGGGGAGCAAATGAGAGGAAGGGGTTACAGGGTAGGGGGCTGACCTCCGTCAACGCTGAGATAGACAGCAGGGCTGGGCTTTGATCGCATGCGTGAGGCTGTTCCTTACCCCCTGGCTTTAGCATGCAGGTGACTTCAACTTTATCTCCTCCCTGCTGGCAGGTCGTTTCCCGGCGGCTGGTTTGTCTCTTTCACACTGGTCTCCGTGCATTTGCAGCGGATAAGGAGCTGCTGGTGAAGCTCAGGAAGAAAACCGGTTATTCCTTTGTGAATTGTAAGACAGCCTTAGAGAAGTTCAGTGGCGACTCCAAACAGGTGAGAGCTGCTTGAACTTCACCCTGACGTTGCACTGAATGTCAGTGGGATTTGGGTACCTAACTCCCTTAGCTTCTTTCAAAATGTTAATCTGAATGAGATGAGACTGGAATTTCTACTTTGGAGAGGGAGGGCAACTCACTGCATGCAGGTGTATAAAAACAAAGGAAGGATATATTTAAAACTGAGTGGTTTCTCTTACTTACCTCAGTCCATAGTAAAGGAGATGGTGCATAGATACCAAGGTAATAGGTTTAATTGCGTTTCTGTTGTAATCATTATGTAGGACTCTCTCCGACGGAAATTGATCATCAAGGTCTTGATTTTTAGAAAGGTCTGGATAATGTTGTGATCTCTATAGCTGTACAAGCTGGCACAGAAAGATGCGTGGGGAATTTAGTTTCCTGCTCTCAAGGCATAAGTAGATCAGGGGCAGAAGGTCAGAAAGAAGACATTGTGCATTATCTTGTATGTATTAGGGATGTTTGGAAATCCACTCAAAACATATTGCCAAACTCATCGATGTCATCCTCGCTCCCAAGAACATCACATTTAACAACACTGTCCAAACCAGGGGAACAGCCAGGGGTACTGGTGTGGCTTCCCACTTTACCATCCTCTTCATGGACTACCTCAAGGAGGAATTTCTGGAAAAATGCACCACAAAACGAACAATATACCTGAGGTACTTGGATTATATTTTCATCCTCTGGGCAAAGATCTAAATTCCCTTAATTTCCACCACAACTTCAGCACCCACCACTCATCCATCAAACTCTCTCTAGAGCACACCCACACCAACATCAGCTTCCTGGACACCACAGTCAGCTTCAACAGTGGGATCCTACTAACAATGCTATACAAGAAGCCACTGATCACCATGCAAAGCAACCACCCCAGACACACCAAAAAAATCTGTTATCTACGGCCAGACACTCAGTTACCACACAATTTGCTCCAAAGAGAAAGTCTGGGATACGCACCTAAACACACTTAAATTTGCCTTCGCTAAACAAGAACACTTCATCAGCAAAGTAGATCATATCATGGAAAGGGCCACCCACATACCCTGGAAGAACCTGCATCAATACAAGAAAAAGAAACGCACTGACTTCACCCCCCTAGTTACCTGCTATCCCACGCTGGAACTGCTACAGGTTATCATCAAACAAGTACAACCCATACTTGATGGGGACCATGTCCTGAAATAAATGTTTCCTGAACCCCCTCTTCTGGCCTTCAAACAACCCTCCAGCCTTGGCAAACTCTTCATCAGAAGCAAGCTCCCCACAGACCAGGACACACCAACTCAAAGCAGCACCAGACCCTGCGAGAACAACAGGTGCAAAATCTGCAGACACATCTCCACTGCTGCAATGATCAACACTCCCCAACATACCTTTCAGGATTCATGGGTCCTACATATGCCTGTTGTAACATGTGCTGTACCCCATCTAGTGCATCAAATACCCCCCTAACAATTAGATGGGTGAAACCAATTACTCAGCTCTCGAATGAACTCGCCCAGAAAAATGGTATAAGACAAAAGCACCATATCACCTGTGGGTGAACACTTTTTACAAAGTATCAGGGGGTAGCCTTGTTAGTCTGCATCCACAAAAACAACAAGGAGTCTGGTGGCACCTTAAAGACTAACAGATTTATTTGGGCATAAGCTTTCGGGGGTAAAAAACCACTTCTTCAGATGCATCTGAAGAAGTGAAAAGAAAAGGAGTACTTGTGGGTAGCATCCAATGAAGTGAGCTGTAGCTCACAAAAGCTTATGCTCAAATAAATTGGTTAGTCTCTAAGGTGCCACAAGTACTCCTTTTCTTTTTGCGAATACAGACTAACACAGCTGTTACTCTGAAATCTGAAGTGGTTTTTTACCCACGAAAACCTATGCCCAAATAAATCTGTTAGTCTTTAAGGTGCCACTGGACAACTTGTTACAAAGTGATTACTCCATATCTGATCTTTCGGTACTGTCCCCAAGGGAAACCTGCCCAACACCTTCAAAAGGCAAGCCTGGGAACTTAAATTCATAACTCTGCTAGCCACCAAAAGCCATGGACTTACCGGGGATGCTGGTATAATGACTCATTGCAACAATTTGTAACACACCTCACTGCTGCGCCCCTTAATTGCCCACTTCAAACCCTTTATACATAAGAATCTAACCCCCAATTGCCCACTTCATTTCAAGAGACCCCCTCCAACATGCGTTACTCCTCTTGCTTAACAATCTGTCCCAACTTGTATTTAGCTCAGACGCTCTTGCTTTCTTCCCCAGACCTGAAGAACTCTGTGTAGCGCAAAAGCTTGTACCTTCCATCAACAAAAGTTGGTCCAATAAAAGATATTACTTTGTGTCTCTCTCATTCTGGGACCAACATATCTATAATGGCACTGCAAATAATTATCCCAAATGTGACAGCACCACACAGCTGGTCAGTGTCATGTTGGCTTGGGTTTCTTGCGTTTTGTGGAACCATTAGGACGTGGTCTGACCATTACGGTCTCTCCTGTGAGGTGACTTTTCCACTTTCAGTATTACAAAGCTTAGGTCTAGGAGAGAGTTTAGTCTCTGAACTGACTTTTGTTGGGTTCATCTTGGTTTTGTCTTCAAAGGCTGAAGCCTGGCTGCATGAGCAGGCCCAAAAGGAGGGATGGAGCAAAGCTTCCAAACTACAGGGCAGGAAGACAAAAGAAGGCCTTATCGGGCTGCTGCAGGAGGGGAACGCGGCAGTTATGGTGGAGGTAAGCTCCTCCACTAGTGTGTGGGGGACCCTTTCCTTGGGCTCATGGGATAGAGTGAGTCGCTTCCCCTATCCCTTGAGCTGGCCTGTGTGCATAAGTTCAAATCTTGCAGCTGGGAGTTTAACTTGGTTAAAATATTAAATAGACAAATTTGTCTAGTCAAATCATGATTAATAGAGAATGTCTGGCATGAATGATACTAAAGGGATTCCTTTAAACTGCAGAAGCAGGAACAAACCCTCAGTCTGTCCTAAATAGAATAGTAATAGCCACAGGGAGTTCCTGTTCTGAAAAGCTGGAGGGCTTATTTCTGTCGCTGACTTCCCAGATAGCAGCTCTGACTGCTGTAACGGCCACCCCTTAAGTGGAATGGCAGCTGTCAGACAATGACTTCAGAATAATCAGCTTTGTTTCTCTACCAGGTGAATTGTGAGACAGACTTTGTGGCCAGAAATGCCAAATTTCAACAGTTAGTTCAACAAGCAGCAACTGGGACAATGTTCCACCATCAAGGCGCTAAAGACCAGTTAACCACATATACCAAGGTGAGAGAGATCTATCGAAAGTACTTATATCCTCCCCCCGTTACCTGACCACCTCTCTTTAATAATATATTTTCCTCCCAACACCTCCATGAGGTAGGGAAGTGCTATTGAGCCACAGAGATATGTTGGCCTTGTCTGCATGCCTTTGCCAATATAGCAATGCTGGGAGAGCCCCCTAGTGGAGACACACTGTAGGCCGACTGAAGCACACTTCTAGCAGTGCAGTTGGGTCTACACCTGAGACTTCGATGTTACAGTTATGTTGTCTCGGGGATGTAACTTTTTTTACACTCCTAACCAACATAGCTATATCAGCAAAACTTTGAGTGTAGGCTTAGAGTGAATCTACACGAGAAAATTAGATCGACCCAGCTACTTCGCTCAGGAGTGTAAAAAAAAAAAAAAAGAAGCCACTCCCCTGACCAACATCGTTAAGATGACCTAAGTTCCATGTAGCCAGCGCTAGGTTGACGGAATAGTTCTTCTGTTGACCTTGGGAAGGTGGATTTACTACGTTAAATGCATCTCACTGAAGTGGAATTCTCACGGATGCTGGCCTGACTAAGACGTCCTTCCCAATCATGAGTATTCGGCCAAGCCACTTTGCTGGGATAAGCAGCTATCCTGTCTCAGAATCCTTGTTGGAATTAGGGGAGGTGCTGAAGTGTTGGAGGAATTTGTTCTGAGTAATCTCCAATGTACAGAAGTCGATTGAGTAGGAGGTCGTCTGGCGGTGCTGTGTGAGGATATACCACATCAGGCGTCTTTTGGAGTAGCTAGGTGGGGGCTACTACTCTCCTAGAGTCAGGGGGCTTGCAGCGTAATGTGTTGTCTCTCGTCTCTTTCAGCATTTCATGAAGGCAGCTGAGCTTTCTCAACTGCGGACCGGGCCTGCTGGATGTTTGCTCAGTGACCAGCTGGCTCTCGCTATAGGTGAGCGCTCTAGTATAAGAGGCTGGTTAGAAGATAGAAATCAGGGAGGCGTTTGTTTGTGTGGCTTCCATCATCCTTGTGTGGGATTGACTGAGAAACCCTTTCCCCTGAGAGGATTCCACCTTTTATCCTGTGTTCAGAGGGGCTGGCTGGCATGAATCTTGTCCGTTTCCAGCCTCACGGAAACTGCTTGTGCCAGTGTTTCTGACAGCACTGAGGATGCAGTGAGGCTCAATTGGGGACCTTTAAATTCTGTGAACTGTCCTATAACCGCTCACAAGCTCTCAGAACTAGTACTGCTGCAAAGTAGTTCAGAGGGAGTTTTCTGAGGTGGGGCATCCCTTTAGACTTACAGTACATTGCAATAACTCAGTGGTTCCCAAACTTGTTCCGCCGTTTGCGCGGGGAAAGCCCCTGGCGGGCCGGGCCGGTTTTTTACCTGCTGCATCCGCATGTTCGGCCGATCGCGGCTCCCAGTGGCCTCGGTTTGCTGCTCCAGGCCAATAGGAGCTGCTGGAAGCGGTGCAGGCCAAGGGATGTACTGACCACCTCTTCCAGCCGCTCCTATGGGCCTGGAGCAGCGAACCGCGGCCACTGGGAGCCGCGATCGGCCGAACCTGCAGACACGGCAGGTAAACAAACCGGCCCGGCCCACCAGGGGCTTTCCCCGCACAAACGGCGGAACAAGTCTGGGAACCACTGCAATAGCCTAACATTTCCAATAAGCGGTAAGCTAGCCAAGCTCCCTTTCTTACAGGAAGGGGTTTTCTGTTTTTAAATACATGGGAGGGGGACAGGCCTAGTACCTATATTGAGACAACTCTCCAGCCTTACGCTCCTTGAGCAGCAAAACTACCAAGGAAACTGACATCTTAAAGGTGTGGGGGAGAGGGCAGAAAGCTGCAGCAAATAGCCCTACCCCAGAACCCTCTGCCTGATCTGTACCTTTAACCGTGAAATAAAACCTGTTCTCGTTTTGGGTTTTTAAAGGCAAACTAGGGGAGAACATGGCTGTCAAGAGGGCTGCGTGGGTGGCAGTACCAGAGACCTACTACATTGGCTCTTACGTCCACGGGGCACTGCCAGCGGCTAATCCCTCCCTCCCTAACATGGTGCTTGGGAAGTACGGTGCCTTAGTGATCTGCCAAGCATCTGAGCAGAGCCAGAAGTCAAACCTTGCTGATCTAGGCCGGAGGCTGGGTCAGCATGTAGTGGGAATGGCCCCTCTGTCGGTGGGATCTCTGGAGGATGAACCTGGCGGAGACATGGAAACCAAAATGCTCGCCCAACCTTTCTTACTGGACCCCAGCATTACCCTGGGCCAGTACGTGCAGCCCCAAGGTGTGTCTGTGCTGGACTTTGTGCGGTTTGAGTGTGGAGAGGACACAGAGATACCAGAAGCAGAGTAGACACAGCAACGTCTCGCACAAGAAAACTCTTCGTAATCTCACCTCTGCGGCCTGGGGCCGGGCATTTACATATTGGATCAGTAAGGAAATAATTATGAGACGGGATCAATAATGAATTAATCTCATGTGCTGGACATTTAATACAGGTAACTTTTTTTGCAAAGCATTAAAGGACCTTGGTAACTGTCCTGTACTAAGCATCTGCAGGCATTTTATATAAAATGGGCTGGCCTGTTTGTTTCTAGGGAAGTCAGCAGGGAGCGTTGGATCTCGGCTGAATCTCGGCTGATGGTTCAGGCTAGATGTGCTGGAGTATATATTTAAATAATCTTAACCCTTTTGGGCCAGGATAGAGACCCTCTGAGGTTTAACCATTTAGACCAATATCCATCTGCTGATCCCAGACTCTCCTACTCTTAAGCTATTCCCACAAAACCAGATTAGTCCCTTCACTCTCATCCCCTCTCCTGGACAGTAACAGTAAAGGGCTGCAGCTTCTCTTTCCCCAAGGGCAGGCATGTTGCCTCATGTTGCTTAGACCCTCCCGAAGAACAGTTCTTTCCCCTGGGCCCACTGTCCCACCAGGAACTGAGTGATGTCTTAAGGGGCACAAGCTGTTTCTTCAGCAGGTGCAGTTGACCAGGGCCATGTACGCTGCTCACTAGGAACAAGGCCCCAGCGCTTGGCTAGCCACCTGGAGAAGCTTCCACCCCAAACAGCAGTGAGTATTTGGCCTGTATGCAGGACTGCCACCTTCCTCTGTGATAAAGGGGCCACAATCCTTGCATATAGGAAATTTTCAGCCTGTAATAGATCTCTGGCTAGGTGTGGCCAAGGGGGAGTCTGATCTGTTACCGGCTGCAGCTGTGACATGTCACCGCCTTGGGGAGCTTGTAACTTGGTTACAGTACACAGGTGACTCAGTTAAATGCCTGGCTGCTGAGGTCTAGCAGCAGGCTGGGAGTGGTGGGTCTTGATTCTGTTTGACTCAAGATGGGCAGAGGCAAAGCTGAAGAAATGGGGGTTAAAGAACTTCTTGGCAGGTCCTAGGAGAAATCCACCTGGGCACTAGGGAATGAAGTGCCAGCCGCAGGGCGGGTGGGCATGGCTCACCCACACACTTGTCCACCCAGCTTGCTTGGTAGTAAGCATAACCTCTAGTTCATATGATACATCTTTATTTTTTTTAAGAAGTCCCAGGTGGAGAAGGGGCTACAGGCAGAAGACTGGCTAGAACTGGACTTTCTGCTGGTTGCAAACTAGCATCGCCTGCGGGAAGCGTTCCTCAGGAGAGGAGACGCCGGCAGGTACAGTTGTCCTGCCAACAGCACTAAAGGTTTGAGATCGTGGCTGAAGCTGGGAAGCTGTAGTAGCGAGTGATACGTAGTGTTTTGTTTTCCAGCTTCCGGCGGTTGGCCGGATGGGTGAAGCGGAAATGCGGTCCTCGTGCCTGGCTGTGCAGCAGATCCCCAACAGCCACAAAGGCAATGACAATAAATGTGTATAGAAAGCTAAAATATCAGCTATTGAGTACACTTGCAAGAGTAAAAACCACCCCCTCACCCCCCCTGTTCCCTTACTGCTTTGGTCCCAGGTGTGGTAGAGCCCACCCCCAGGACATGGGGCTCCGGCTGCTCTCCGCCTGTTGACTGGGTGCTCCGTTCTCTTCATTAGAAGAGCCCTTTTTCTTTCTTCAAGTTGATCTGCTTCCAGCTGGGAAGAGCAGCAAATTCCTCCCTCCTGATTCCAAACACTGCCACAAAGTCACTTTCGGAGAGGTAATTCTGGCAGAGAAAACGCCGGGCAGATTAGCGGGGGGGGGGCGGGACGGCAGTGTGTGCAGTGGCCTTGAGACGGTCATTTTGGAACCTAAGGGGGCACAACTAGGTAGGAAGGGAGGCCAGGCTGCTTTTCTGTAGAGCCAAAGGGGTGCTGGGCTGGGACTCTGCCTCCAGCAGCGGAAAGCTGAGTGGCTCTGTGGAGATGCCAGGGCTGCCCACAAAAGCTCCCCCTGGTTACAGTATGCAGGGAAGCCGGGGGTGCACACTAGACACTTACTAAGAGGAGACAGAAATTCATTGACTCAATGGAAGCCCAACAACCTGTGGAACAGCCCAGTGCTGGGAGGTAGCAAGAGCCAGTGCAGGGGGTAGAACAGCAGAACTTCCCCCCAGGCCTCTCTAATAAACCCTCAGCTCCTCCTCCAGCGTGCTGTCGGAGGGAGGAAAGCTTTTCAAAAACCTTCCACATTAGTGAGCCAGGGCTGGATTCCCAAAGAGGTTTAGGTGCTTGTTGAAATCAGTGGGAGTTGGGGGGCTAAATCCCTGCAGGATCTGAGCCCAAGCACCTGGTCCCCAAAGCTCACCTCTTTCTTGGCAGGGTCTACATCTCCTGGCAGTTCCTCCTGGTTAGTTAGCACTTCTAGAGGGTAGAACTGAGCCACGCCACCACTGTGGGCCCCAGAGCTGGGGGAGAGAGCTGTCCCGTTCAGATCCTATGCAGTGCGGGTGGAAGGAGAAACACCCCAGAGCATGTCAAGTTGTTTTAGTGCAGGAGAGACATGCCCCTCTCTGCTGAGCCTTTGCTCCTAAGTCAGTTAGGGGGCTGCATGAAGGAGCCCCAGCTACTGTTCGTAAAAGGTCCAGCTGTTATTGCTGGGATCCCTTGCATTGCATTCAGCCTCCCTGCAGGTTCCCTTACAGTTTCATGTAGCTACAAGATCCCAAATCACCTGTGCCCAGAAATGGGCTAGTTTTGCTATGCACTGTTAAACAGCTGTTGTGTTCTACCCCAGGGGTGGCTACATTTCTCTGGCAGGGAAAAGCATGCCTATATGTGCCCTTTGCAGTGTGCTTTGGGCTCTCTAGGTGGAAGGTGCTAGGTAAACTTAGTAGATTGTTGCTTCAACGCTCCATCTGAACACAGCAGTTTGTCTAGGCGCTTAAGTGGCTGATTTGTAGAAGCTGTGAGGAGATTAATGGGCATGGCAGGTGCTCAGCGCTTTAGCCGGGCAGGTGGCCTAGCTATAAGTTGTAAGTATGGGCCCAGTGGGGCAATGAGAGCCCAGATAGGGGAGTAGCAGTGTGCAGATTCTCAAGTGTTTGCCTCCCCCGAGGGCTAGACACCCCCTAACCTGGCAGGAGGTGACATGTCCCACCCCACGCTCTGCAGCAGGGGGAAACGGGTGGTCAGTTTGCTTTCTGGAAGTCATCCCTGTCTTTGGCCACCTGAGCCGAATCCCACCCAGTTCCGGCCACCTCCCTACACCACAAACACAACTCACAGCTGTGATCCTGACAATGGCACAAGCATCTCCCAGCTCCTCCTTCAGCTGCTCGTAAGTCTTCCCTTCCTGGAAGGACACAGAAAGCTGAGAACCCCACAGCTCGCCCCTTAGCCACAGTTATAACAGGGTGGGTGGAGTCTTGCCCTGTTCACAGGGAGGTGCCCCAAGTGGGTGCTGGACTGCCCAGCTCTTACCATACCAGAGCCTGGAGCACCTGCAGTCAGCATGAGGATGCAACTAGAGGAGGAGAGAGGGGCTTGAGTGAATCCCTTGTCATCGAGACTCCAAAGCCAGAAGGGACCATTGTGATAGTCTGACCTGTGACAGGCCAGAAAACTGCCCCAAAATAATTCCTAGAGCTGATCATTCAAAAAAACGTCCAAGCTTGATTTAAAAACTGTCAGTGAAGGAGACTCCACCGTGACCCTGGGGAAATGGTTCCAGTGGTTAATTATTCTCAGCATTAAAAGCTTACGCCTTATTTCCTGTCTGAACAGGTCTAGCTTCAGCTTCCAGCCAGGGGATCAAGTTCTGCCTTTCTCTGCTAGAGGGAAGAGCCTATTGTTAAATATTCGTTCCCCATGTCGGTACTTACGGATGGTGCTAAATAGATTGAGCTCTTTGAGTCTATCACTATAAGGCAGGTTTCTAATCCTTTAGTCGTTCACGTGGCTCTTCTCTGCCCCATCTCCAATTTATCAACATCCTTCTTGAATTGTGGGCACCAGAACAGGACACGGGATTCCAGCTGTTGGTTGCACCAGTGCCCAATATGGAGGCAAAATAATCTCTCTCCTCCAACTCAAGATTCACCTGGTTATACAACCCAGGATCGCTTTAGATCTTTTGGCCACAGCAACACACTGGGAGCTTGTGTTCAGCTGATTGTCCATCATGCTCCCCAGGAGAGATCCCCTCATGCCATAGGGATGGCCTACTTTCTTTGTTCCTAGATATTTACATTTATCTGTATTAAAACACTTGATGTTTGCTCGCACTCAGTTGACCAAGCGCTCTCGGCCCAGCTCTTCTCTGGCCCAGCCTTACTCCTTGGGCTGCCTCAACTTTCTCCTTCCATCTTTACATTTTCCATTGGTCCCATGCAAGTGAGAGGAGAGATGAAACTGAGGACTTGAGGGTGGCAATCAGCCCGAAGGCAGCTAGGCCCCCAGCCTCCTGGGAAAGGCAGTGGATACTGGGCAACTGACTCCCCTGTGTGCCTTCAGCAATCTCCCCCATTCGCTCCTTATCTGCAATCAAGATTTACCAGAAAAGCCCTCACTGGTCCCTGCTAGTCTAAGGATCAGTTGCATTTCCCCATCTGCTCGAGGCCAGACCCTGAGAGGCAGATGCCTCTGGACTGTGTGCTCTAATCCAGAGCGGCAGATGAGCATGATAAACCCTGCCCCGGCTGGATTCTCCCACCCACCTGCTGTGGCCAGGCTTCCACCTTGTTTATACTCACGCTCCATTTGTGTGGGTCCCAGGCTACAAACCACCCAGTGAAGTTGGGTGGCTCAAAGCCCTGCTTGACCACCAAGATGGGCGTGTCAGTGTCCCTCCCGCTGGGGTGGGTGCAAAGATATTCCTGAGCAGTGGCCAGCGCTGCTTCTTTCTCCATCGTGTTGGCATCCTTCCCAAGCCACAAGAAGACCTGCAAGGGGAAATGCAAATTGGCCAGGCACGGGAATGGGACTGGAGCTTAAGGTCAGAAGGGATGGTTGTAATAACCTGGTCGACCTGCATAACAGAGGCCAAAGAACCTCAGCTGGGATTTGTGCATCAAGCCCAGAGCCTGGGATTGAGTTAGAGCTCATGGATTTCCTAGATCCAGGCCAGCAGAGGGACAGAAAGCACTCACCCCAGCACTCAAGAATGGGTGAATTGGGTGCTCATGAAACTGATAAGCCGGGGTAGCACAAACAGATGCTGTGTGTGCGGCCCCTTGATCCTGACCCACATCCCCTCGAGCCTGACCCATGGCCCCCTGCTCGTCCAGTCCTGGGTCGTCGTCCCCCCCCATATGCCCCTCAATCCTGACCCACAGCCCCTCTGCTAGTCCAGCTCCAAGTTCCCCAGGCAGCCAGTTCTACCAGGACCCCCTGACCTGTAGCCACCCCTCCGCTATCCTCCTTCTGGGCAACTCTCACACTGGGACCGCTGGTGTGTCTTAAATTAAGAAGGCCCCTGGAATACCCAAGTCCCAGGGATTTTGCTGGCTGATGGCAGATCCTGTTTGGGGCTGGGCAAGTGGGGAATCCGGTGGCTTTTGCTCTCCCAGCACACCTGGTCCCATGTGTCGAGCAGCATCACGTCGCTTTCGCTAAGGTCATCCTGGCCGAAGTCGGTCACTTCCGTCACCACGAAGCGTCCCGTCTTGTTGGAGCATTCGAAGAGCCGGGGCGGGTGATCTGGGACTTCCTGCTGGAGCCTGCAACACACAGCTCCTTCAGCAACCCTCCCTGGCTGAGACTGTCAGTGCAACCCGCTCTGTACCCTGGTACCTTTTGTCGCTGGCATAAGGGGCTTTGCCTCCCAGCACTTCCCAGAACGCTGCTGGCTCCTGCCCTTCGGCCACAGTTTCCTGTGTGCCCTCACAGATGGTTGCAGCCAGCTGCTTCGCCATTTCCCGCTCGTCCCCGCTGGAGCCCTGGCGGGCAAGGAGACAAGCTGGCATTCGCTGTCCGTGGCGCACAGCGACGGGGGAGGAACGCTTGCGGGGGGGTTCACTTCCCGCTGGCTGCCCAGCCGGTGCCAGGCCGCCCCTTACCTTGCCGTACCACAGGTAGTGCTCGGCCTGGGTCTGGAGCAGGAAGACGTCGTTGGAGTTGAGTGACGAGGCAAACGCCGGGACTTCCACGGCTTTGGTGTTGGACTGGGCGGTTCCGTGGATCTGGAAGAGCCTTACGGGCGGTTCCGGTTCTTTGTTGCTTTTCCTGGATGTCCCACCCTGAGGGGGGGAGGGGGAACTGAGCCCTGGTGCCTGAGAAGGAGCCTCAATGGGGCCCCAGGAGAGAGAGGGGGGCCTAGGGGTTCCAGCTGGGTTAGGACCAGCACGGGTAGGGTCTGTGCTAGGGAAGAAGAGAGCTAAGGGGGGAACCTCATGCTGCAGAAGGTTTGGAGGGAGGACACAACAGCTGGGAATGGTGCTGGCTGAACCGGTGGCAGGAAGGAGGGATGGGAAACTCATCAGTGAAACGATCCAGCCCCAGCTCCTGCACAGGAGAGTTATTGCTCCGGGGCCACTCTGCGTCTACCGCACTCCAGCAACAAGGGGGGGGGGAGGGATGGGGGTGGGAGGAGAGAGTCTATGCCCTGTAATTGAGACAGTGTGGAACAGACACCTGGGTCCCGTTCCCAGTTCTGCCACTGATCTCCTGCATGACCTTGGGCAAGTCCCTTTCCCCCGGGCCGTGCCTCCGTTTCCCCTCCCGCCCCTTGTCCATTTTAGATAGTGCTTTTCAGGGTAAGGGCTGCCTCCAGCTCTGTGTTCATGCAGCCCCTGGCGCAAAGGGGCCCTGATCGTGGCCATGGCCACGAATTGAAACCGCAACTGCCCTGGTGACTGGAAAATCCAGCCCAGCGTCTCCTGCCCCCGGCCTCCACTTCCCCCTGCTCCTGCTGGCGACGCCGTACCTCAAAGATGACCAGCTTCCCTTTGAAGATGGCCAGGAAGTGGCGCGGCTCCTTGCCCATGCTCACGCGCACCTGCACCGGCTCCCCCTTGAACTGCCGGTCCACTTCCACCGCCTGGTATGCGGAGGCAGCCAGCTCGTCCTGCGTGGCGTGGCGACCCTGGGCATGCACAGAGGGACCGGCTCGGAACGGCAGCCCGGAGGAGTCTCCGCACCTGCGGCCGAGGCAATGCCCCGTGAAGGGGAGACGGGGTGCAGGGTTCTGCCTACCTGCCAGAGGTACAGGATGTAGCGGGGCCGGTGGTTCACACCGTAGGTATAAAGCACCAGGTAGCAGTCTCCGCCGAAGAAGAAGCCATGCCACTGGTATTCCACCGGCTCCAGCTCCAGATTCTCGATCCTCCAGACCTAGAATGAGCGCAGCCGTGCCGGGAGTGAGATTAGCGCGAGTCATACCACTGGGCCGTTCAGGCAGCTGATCGGTCCATGCTGACCCCGTGACGAGGGCAGTCTTTGTAACAGGGCCGTTAAGAGCCGGTTTCCCCCCCTAGACTCAAACTGTTGCCCCATAGCATCGGGAGCTTTGTCAGGGAGCATCAGTCCAGTGGGAGGCCACCCCACGCCCCCATTCCCTGCAGAAAACTTGGAAAGGGAAGGGGGCTGTGGGAAATCGGCCAGATGCAGGACCCCCTTTGGCGCAGGAGCATGCACAAGGGGGGAGCAAGCAGGGGCATTGCGCCCCCCCCCCATCAGTGGGGGTACAGAACTCCTCCGGGGTCAGGGCATGGAAAGCAAGCTCCTCCAGCCCAGCCAGGGCGGGACGTGACAGCTCCTGGGGCTGCAGCAGGGAGAACCAGATCGTCCGGCGCAGGGGAGAGCTAGGTCCACCGGCCACAGGGCCGCGGTGGGGAGAGCCAGCTCCTCCGGCCGCAGGGGGGCACACACAGCGCCCCTCCAGAAGTGGCCAAATTTTTATTCCTGTGCACGCCCCTGCATTGGGGTCATTCAGAGGGTCTTTGATCAGCACCAGGGGCCCGAACAGGGCTGGACAGCTCAGCCCAGAGACGCCGCGAGCCACTTCCATGTGTCTTCCATGTGCAGCCAGTCCCGACGACTAAGGATTCCCAAGCTGCTTGCAGGTGCTGAACTCGCCTGCAGCTTGCCAGCTTGGGCATTGCAGCAGCCGTGAGGGCACCAGGCTGCCCCCCAGCGAGCGGAGGGGCCTGGATCCCCCTGTCCCAGCAGAGCAGGGGGGGTTCTGCCAGAGACACCTGCACTGCCAGGGAAAGGGCAGAGGGGTCACCCAACAGAGCATTCGGCTTTAGTGCCCCGAGGCCGACTCATGGCTCCTACCTCCACCTTCCCTTCCCCGTTATCCACCATCCGCTCCTGGGCGGCCAGCTCGGGCCGGGTGTGCAGCAGCATGGCATCAAACTTCTCCTGGCTGACTTTGGCTGCCAAAAAAAAAAAAAAGCATCGGGGTTTGGTCAACAGCCTAGGTGGAGAGAGGGGGGCAGCAGATGCGGGCATCAGGGCTGCAGCGGTCAACGTGTATCCCATACCCTACAGCATCTACCCCCGTACGCTGTGTCCCTGTACCCTGGGGAAGGCCTCGGCATGGGGGGTAGGGGGCTAGCTTAGGAAATAAGCAGACCAGCTGTGTGCCCCACATCTCCCTGCAGACAGATCGGCGGCCGCACCCTGCAAGCTCCAGGAGAGAGGAGGCTCTTCTTACCCGTTTTGCCAGCGCTGTAGGCTTTGCCCAGCCCCACCGTCTGGTCCCGGACGGTCCATGTCTGGAACAGCTGCTTGAACATGGCGGATTCGGCACCATCGTTCACCGTCTCCACGTTGGTGCCGCAGGGGTAGCCCTTCATGTTGATGAACTCCTGCCAGGCCAGGGGCGGAAACGGCAAGGAGCCCGGTCAGTGGTGCGACCCGGATGCCCCGCAAGAGGCCCCCACCCTCTGGCAGCATGGAGTCAGGAATCCAGCTTTCACTCCAGGCCCCCAACTTGGCCCTGGTCCAGATCGGCTCCTCCCCATCCCTGCACGTGCATCACTGTTAGTGAGACTCCCTCGCCCCCCACCTCTGTCCTACCAGAGCTTTGTCCATGGCCGTTCGCCTCTCTGCCTTGGAAGCCCCCTTCCCCTTCCAGACATAGATCTTGGTCCCGGCATGATCCAGGATGTAGCAGTCCTGGGGAGGAAAAGGTCAAACCACTTCCTGGGGCTGCTGATTGGCCTCATGCCATGCTCCTCTGCCTGGCCCTGTAAGGCGCGAATGGGGGGGTTGGGGCTTAAAATGGGGCAAAAGGGATCCAATCAGGGTGCCGTAGAAAGGGGGGGGGGATTTTGCAATGCACCACTTGCCGGTTCGGGAACTTCCCAGACCACCCCCCAGTGCTCAGTCCTGCCCCGGATTGAAGGAGTCGTGGGAGTTGCCAGACTGGATCAGCCTCAGCATCCGGCCAGCCCCGTCTCCTGTCCCTGACGGCGGCCAGCGCCAGAGGAAGGCGCAAGGAGCCAGCAGCTGCGGGATAATCCGTCCCCTCCGGTCTCAGAGTTAGAGCCATCCTGCAAAGAGGGCTCTAGACGGCTGGCTCTGGCGCCCTGGGGGAGCCAGGCAGAGCCGGGCAGGCGGAGGAGGAGCTCTGGGTGAAGTGCAGCGGCGGGAGCAAAGCCCCAGGGCACAGAGGTGGATTTTAAATGGCACCTGGTGAAAGCCCTGATGATGCACAGCGGCCCCCGTCTTTCACTCACGTCATGGCTCAACAGCTCCTGCACCAGCGGCCTTGCGGCCTCTTCCAGCACCTGCATTTTCCCTCCGGAGTCTGAGACACTAGAGAAAGGAGAGGGGTGGATTTATTCCCAGGGGCGCTGGGGATGTGGGGGGGTTCAGGGCCCAGGAGGGGAGCAGACACCAGGGCAAGCCGATGGGAATGTTCCCTGGTCTCTGGGACAGTTTCCACCTGCTCCCCTTTCTACAGGTCTCTCGGGCACGGGGCCGTAAGGGCCCATCCCAGCGATGCTGCAGCAAATCTAGGAGCCACCAGGCACAAGGAGACCGGCTTGGTTTGGGAATTGGCCAGCCGTGCTGGGAGCAGGGGTGCCGTCCCTGGAGGAAGATCCCCGAGGAACAAAACCCAGCTGGCTCCGTTGCACTTGGATCAGTCTAAGCCTGCATGGGAGATGCGGATTAGCGAGGGATGGGGAGTGAGGCCCGGCAAATGCCAGTGAGATGCGGAAGCCTCTGTGTGATGTGCCCCCCCTCCCCCACTCGCTGCTTTGCACTGCACCCCGCTTACCGATAGAGCAGGACAGTGGTCTTCTGCTGCTGGTCCACCACCTCGTCCGGGGTGCTGGGTTTGATCTTCCGTGGCCTGTCTCCAAGCACGCTCTGCAGCACCGTTGTCAGCTCCAGGCTGGCTCCCTCCTGGTCGCCGTCCACCACCCCGATCTCTGCCCGCCCCCCACGCTCCCGGTCGCGGATGTCTTTGGCCAGGAGCATGGCCTGGACGAGACCCCCCAAGAAAACAATCATCGGCTCCCTGCAGGGTGCTGGGCAAAGGCACCAGGCACCCCCCCACCCCACCCGAGAGCCTGTGCTGTCTGAAAAGGCAGGACGGACAGATACGGAGGGGACAGGTGAAGGGCTTATCACAGGCTGATGACAAACACAGCCCGGCACCCCGCACGCTCACCTGGTCTGGAGAGAGGAACCAGCGCTCGCCAAATGCCCTTCCTGGGTATCGGACAGAGCATGCCCACCTCTAGCGTGCTGGTTCCAAGCCAGCCCAGTAGGGCCAGGGAGTGGGGTCCAGGGCCTTTCCCTTCTAGGGCGCTGGTTCCGGTCCAGATCCAGGGGGAGGGGAATGCTCCAAACTTCTCTTCCCTACAGCGGCGGGAGTAATGGGAATGGCAGGCGGGGCGGGGCAGGTCCGGCAGGGTTCCTACCTTCAGCCGCTCCCTGGTGTTGCTCTCGGGGCCGTTCCACTGAATAATGACCTTCCCCAGGTCCAGCAGGAACACGTCCCCCAGGTTAAAACTGTCCCAGCTCATCTCCACCTGCGCCCGGGGGCACGGAGAAGAGGCCGTGAGGGGGCTGGCACAGCGGTGGGGGCAGGAAGCCATGCTGGTGCCAGGGGAAGCGGGAGGACCGAGCAGCAGTGGCCGTAGTGGAAGTAGAGTGGGAAGGGCAGCCACGGGCAGGGGGGCAGCCGCCATGCGGGGGGAATCGGGAGGACGGAGGCAGGGACCACGCCAGCAGCAGGGTGGGAAGGCAGCTGGCGCACCGGGGGCATGGGGCGGGCAGAGCGTTGGCTGTGCCAGGAAGGCAGTGGCTACGCTGGCCCCAGGGAACTGGGCTGGGGGCGAAGGGAGGCTGCCTTGCCGTAGGGCAGGCGGGGGCCCAGGCCAGGGGCGGGAGTGCCCGAGCCCAGGCTCACCTCGGTGGCCGCGACGTTCCGTCTCCCCTTGACGTGCAGCAGGCGCCGGACGTTGTAGACGTTGGTCTCCACGTGCGTCATCCCCGAGGCCACCCCGCCCTTCTTGTAGCTGGGGGAGAGGGGTGGGGGAAGGGTGAGCACCCAGAGCAGGGAAGGGGGGGCCTGGGCCAACCCGGCAGGGAGGAAGGGGAGACACGCACGGGGGCCGCCAGGACCCTCCTCACCCTGGCAAACACGGCCCCGTCACCCCCCAGCCCCAGAAGGTGCTGCGGGCACAGCTCCTTGCAATGCTTGCAGGCTGACGTCCCCCCAGGGGGGCTGGGTGGGTGGGGACGGCCTGTAGGCCACACGCCCCGGATGTCCCCCCAGGGGGGCTGGGGACAGCCTGTAGGCCACACGCCCCGGATGTCCCCCCAGGGGGGCTGGGGACAGCCTGTAGGCCACACGCCCCGGATGTGCCCGCGTGGGGGCTGGCTGGGGTGGGCAGCCGGAGCCCCATGGAGGGACAGGATCTCACTCCAAGCAGGAGGGTTGGTGGGTCAGGCCCACCGGGACCAGGGCCCCTCAGCCTCCTACTCACATGATGCCCTGCTTGAAGTAGCCTTTGAAGAGGTCCGACTCGTGGCACTGCACCTCCCGGTGCTGCACGGGGCCCCCACCCAGGTAGTCGTCCAGCTGGGTGGTGTAGATGGCGGCGCAGCCCTGCTTGTCCCATGAGGAGCCCTTCCCGACCCAGCAATGGATGTTGTGGGCCAGGACGCTGCCCGAGCGCCGGGTCTGCAGCAGGGACAGACCTCGAGGAGTGACCCAGCCTCTGCCCCGCTGATCCCGCAGCGGGACTGCCGGGGGCTAGGTGCTCCCGGATCCCAGCTGGCAAATGCTGCCCCGCTCCACTGCATGGAGGAGGGAGGGAATTTCTTCCTGACACCCTGCCCCTCTACAACTGGGGATCAGTTTGTCAGTGCCTGCCCGGAAGCCGAAACAGAGAAGCCCTCCTTGCTGTATCCTCACTCATGCCGCTAATCTTAACTGGAACGATTGCCTCCAAATCATGTGGCAGGGAGTCCCACAGGCTAACAGGACACCATGCAGAGCATTTGCTTTTGTCAGGCTTAAACCCACTGCTGTTGCTTTTGCCTTTCGTCAGTGCTATCTCCCCCCCCCCCTTTCTACTGCTCTTCCAAGACAGACGGGGGGGTGGAGGGAGGAAATGGAAGAGATCAGCTTTGGAAAGCAGCCTCCCCGAGCTGCTTGTCTGTCCCACACCCGCCGGGATTAAAGCAAAGCAAGGGGCCCTGGGGTGAGTACCGGATGCTTCACTCCCAGCACCACGCGTCACCCTTTGGAGCCAATTCTACCACCAGCACCTGGAGCAAGTCCCAGCAGGTCGGTGGCTTGGGGGGTTAATGAGCCCACCCCACCAGCAGGGGTTGCTGCAGCCCTGGGGGCACTCACCGAGAGGAGGACGTAGCAGTCGCCCTCATAGAAATTGCCATGGGATTTCGGAGGCACCTGCACCAGGTCCATTTTCTGGGGGGAGGCAGAAGTGCATTGAGACCAGCGCAGCCTCCCCCTTGTCCTGGCATCAGCCATGGGGCACACAACAGTCATCCCCCTGCAGAGCGTCCCTCACCTCCCCCCCACCCCCGGAGCAGCTCAGCCAAAATGGTGCATTGGGTGCGTTCTGGCCCAAGGGGAAAAGCACCGCGCCCAGCCAAACTCTCCCCAGCGGGCCGGCCAGAGCCGAGGTCCCCCAGACAGGGCAGGGCTGGCAAAAGGAAGAACCAGGAGGGAGGGAGCCAGCTGGGCCTTTGGGGATCTGGACAGAAGCCTAGGGAGTCGGGGGTGAGCTTTGGCCTGCTGATCAGCAACCATGCAGCCACCTCTGGGGGGTGGAATGACAGCTGGTTATGGAAGTCCTGCACATCCACCGCTGGAATGCAGCCACCTCTGGGGAGGGGTGACCACTATTTATAGGGGTAGCCCATCTACGCCACTGGATTCAGCCATCTCTGTGGTGGGAGAGTGGCAGCTGTTTATGGAAGTACTGCACATCCACCACTGGACTGTATCCTCCCCTGGGGAGGGGCGTGGCAGCTGTTTAGCTGCAGCTCACTTCAACGGATGCATCACGAAAGCTGATGCACAAATAAATTGGTTAGTCTCTAAGGTGCCGCCAGTCCTCCCTTTCTTTTAGCATAAAGAGCTAGAGTTGGAATTAGGCCAGGGCACCACACCCCAGCCCCCATGAAAGGGCCGTGGGAAAAGACGAGTGGCCCACTGGAAGTACTCGCCAGCCAACTGCCCATATCCCTTCTGCACCCTGGAGGTCTCCCAGCCAAGTCCTAGTTACCAGGCCAGACACTGCTTAGCTTGCAAGCTCCAAGGGGATCCCAGCCCAAGGCGGGAGACGCGCCCCACTTACCTCAACCCTCCAGATGAGGAGGCCGGGCATGTTGTTAACCGCCTTGAAAGCACTGCTCAGAGCCATCGCACCCCACGCCGGGGACTCACCGGGGAGCTGCCAGGCAAGAGGAGACAGTCAGCCCAGAGGAGCAGCCCACCCCCGACACTCCTGCCTGAGAACAGCCGCACACGTCCCAGCTGAGCGAGGCAGAGGTGTAAAAAGCTTCTGCAAAAGCTTTGCCCAGAAGCTGCATGCTTTGGGAGGGGAGGGAATTAAAGGGGTGAAGCGAGGGGATGTGGGGTAGGGGATCCCCCAAATCGCACGAGATGGAACCCAAGCAGCTCAGCAGGGGGCACTCTCTGGATGAGACACCCACCCCCTGGCCCCTCGCCCCCACGCACACACCCAGGGCCAGGAGAGGTGGAAGTTCGTCGTGGGTGGCACGTGCAGGGTGAATCAGGAGCCAACGCCCAGGGAGAAGCTCCCCCTCCCCGCCCCCACGTGTCTCACAGCACTGGGGATCTGCCCCGCCCCACATCTCAGGGGCTCACCCCTGCAGGTGTCCCACCCCTCCCTCCAGCCAGTGATGCTAGAGGCTGGTGCCTGGGATTTGGGGCTTTTCCTTGGAGCCACAGCTCACCAGCTCCTCAGGATAATTCCCCCGAGTCACGCCAGCCAGGGTTTGGGAAGACTCCATGGCCCCTTTAAGGAGGAATTCTCCTTCCCAGGCCTGGCCTGCCCCTCACAGCAGATGGAAGCTGTTAGGGCATGTGGGCCCCACCCAGCTGGTTCTTGTGCCACCCCAAACGGAGTCAGGCCAACCTGCGCATTCACACTGCACAGCAGCCCGGTCCCCCGCTCCCTGCACCAGCGGGGATGGCACCCAGCAGAGAGCAGGGTTTTCTAAGCTCTGGATCCATTCTCCATGCCCTAGATCCTGGGGCAACCCCATTGCCCTGGCTGGGCTGGGCGCCTCTGGCTTCACCGCCGCAGCCAGGGCTCAGACCCAAGGGCACCCTGCGGATACTTACGAACACCGCAGGAATCTCTCCTGCCCACTGGGTGCTCCCTGCCTGCCCGGCCTGGGGGGGTCCAGCTACTCAGCACGCTGGCCTGGGCACAGCTGGGGTGCGGACCCTGCTCTAGCCACGCTGCCCGTTGCACTGCAGGGAGGGACACGCCCTGACTGCAGGCTCTGGAGGAGAATGGGTTAGAGGGGCCGGGCTCACGGCAGCCCAAACCGTAACCGCTCCCCCCCGTCTCCCCCAGTTTTCAGTCATTGAAGCCAGATGGCGTAACCTGACCCAGGGAGCCGGCCCAGCCACAGCCCTAGGAAAGAGTCGGCTGGGTGAGACACCATCAGCTGGGTTTGATTAGCCAGGAATGTGCTGGTTTTGGGCCCGGCTGCGTTTGCAGACGCCGTTCACACTGGTTTGTTCCTCTCCGTTCACACAGGCACGGCCAGCCCTTTCCTACCATTGCACTTAGCCGCAGGGCAGGTGTCTGCTCATGCCGAGCCCCTCAGGGGGAAACACCAGGGCCAGACTTCCCCTCCCTATGTGGCACCGACTAACCCAGTACTGAGAAACCTGACATGGCATTCCCCAATCCAATGAATCTTGGTTGGCATCAGTTCCTCCTGCCTGAGGAGCAACTGATGGACGCTCTCGGTTCCTGCCTCAGCTGGGATCTCTTCCCACCACCCCCTTTAGATCTACCTTGATTCACTAATTTTCACTCCTCTTTCCCTCCCCGAGTTGCCACCGAAGGGCACTTGCCAGTTCTCTCATTAAATAGCCACGTGGTGGCATTATGCACCAGGAGCCCAACAGGAATGAGGGGGCTTCAAGTTTCATTCTCTGAGCCCTGCAGATCTAGGGCCATCTCAGCCAGCCCATCTCCCTCACCCAGCCCAAGGCAGGACTGATCCCTAAGGCCGCTCATCTAGGACTTCGGCCACCCCAAAGTCAGGCTGGAACTCACCTGAATTCGCTGCTGTCCTCTGCAAATGGCTGTTGAGGAGACCCCGGAACAGCTGCTGGCATGAGCCCCAGTTACCCGGCGTGCCTGGACCCAGGCATTATATTTGCCTGAGTTTGCATCTCAGCCATCTTTGGGCAACCCTGACCAATGAGCACTGGCCTGGCCGCACGCTTGACATAGGCAAAGCAGAGGGAAAGCAGCTATTTGTTCCTGTTTGAAGCACTGACGGGCGGGGGGAAGGGGCGGGGGGAGGGGGCCACAGGGACGCTAAGGTCAGCACCGCCTGGCTCTCCTCCTTCCACGCCCTCTTCCCATTGATTTTTCTAAAGTGCTCGGGCTGATTAATAATTCAAAGAGGAGGGGGGAAATTAACCACATGTGAGTGACATGCACAGAATCGAGGCAGGAGATCGGGGGGTGTGTGTGTGTGAGAGAGAAGGGGAAGGAGCCAAGCCCTGAAGTGGGCAGCTCGAGGGGGCAGCAGTGACGGCTGGAGGAGTGGGGGGACGGACAGGAGAGGTGGAATAGCAGCAGCAAGACAAGCAACTAACAAAGGGGGCAGGCCCAGGAAAGGGGGCCCCAGGGTGTCTCCATCCTCCCCTCGCTGGAGGGCTTGGACACTCCCCACAGCCCCTCCTGCCCCCCTTTGAAGGGGCAGCCGGAGCATAGGGCCCATCCCAGCGCCAAAAATCTGGGCTCTCGCTGGGGACAAGTCAAGCATCTTCTGAGCAGACCAGGCCTGCAGCTGTAGGTTACTGAGTGCCTGGGCCGTGCATGGCCATCCCCAGAGCCAGAGCAGCTCCTGCTACCCCAAAGCCAGGAGGTTAACGGCGTTGGCCCCAAGCCGTGGGGCTACTTCCCTGCTCTGCTCCCTGCAGAGCTGGCCCCTTGCTGCAAGGGGGGGCGGGGGAGCACACAGAGCAGCCTTTGGGAAATTAGCAACACTCGGGGTGAGCTCCCAGGCTCACGCTGCGGATCACTTTAACCTAGCGGCTGCTGGGGCAGGGACGACTCTGGGAAAGCAGAAGCTGCTGACCCAGCAAAGGGACAGAGCATCCCCGCCTGCCCCTCCGCTCGCTGGCTCTGGAGTGCAGATCCAGCATCATCCTTCCCCCGCCTGGCTTCGGCAGCCACGATCCCACGGAGCGGGAAGGGACACTCGGCTCAGGGCCTGGAACGGGGCAGCCCCAGCCACAGGCCGTGGGGATTCAGCAGGAGCTTCTAGGCCTTTCCCAGCTCCCGCCACTCCCCCCATCCCCCCCCGCCATGGGGCCTCATTAGCAAACCCCATCTAGGGCCAGAGGCTTGGCCCACCGCCAGCCCAAAGCTGCACCTTTGCGTCCTAGGCACCTGCTCTCTATCCATCTCTTGCTCCACGCCAACACCCCACTTTCAGGGCGTCTGCCGGCATTCTGGTCAGCATGGGTAGCATTGCCTAGAGGGTAGACCCCCTCCCAGGGGCTCAGGAGCCCTGGGTTCTAATCCTGGCTCTGCTGCTGACCTTTGGCAAGTCACGTCCCCGTTCTGTGCCTCAGTTTCCCCTCATCTGCCTCATATTTAGATGGAAGGGCCCGACTCCTTGAAGTCTATGGAAGCTAGGAGCCTAAATACCTTTGAGTATCTGGGCCTAAGCTCTTCTTGGTGGGGTCTGTCTGTCTATGCAGCACTCAGCTCACCGGGCCTTCGGTCTTGGTTTGAGCCTGTAGGGGGGCATGGTCAGACAATTACTACAAAAAAGCGAGGCCCTTACCCGCTGCAGCAGGCGGCCCCTGGCCAGCACGGAGCAGAGCCAATAACGAGACCAATTCACTTTCCTTTCCTGGCTTTAATCGCAGTTAATACAAAGATTCCAAAAATAGAAAGAGACCGAGACAGTGGCGCCGGCTTCAAGTTTTTTCATTTGAATAAGACAAAAATGTAACAAACAAAAGGAAGTGACCCAAAACAACCGAAGTCTTTACACCCCTGGCGGGGGGGAGGGAACCCCAGGGCCTTGTGCTCAGTGCACAGACCCCTGCCATGGGAGATGGGGGCACCCCCGCATTACAATGAGGGGGGACCTGAGCAGAGCCGTGGGGTTTAGGGGAACACAACCCCATATGAAAGGCAAATCAGTGAGAGCAGGTGACCATGTACATGCTGAAGGAGGCCTGGGGAAGCCCAGCTCCGAGGCCTTGGCCGGGCTGCATTTTGGGGCTCACCTGCTGCCAGTTGGAGCGTCAGAGGCGTGAGACCTGCCAAAGCATCTGCAGCTAAACTCCCGCATCCTCAGGGCTCCTGGCTGCGGCACAAAGGGGTGGGTTGGGATTTCCCACAGCAATGGGCATTTTGGGGTAACTCATCAGAGGCCGTTGAGTCAACAGAAGAGTGGGGCTGGACCGGATGCTGGGGGAGGTCCCCCAAGTGTGTGTGTGTAGGGTAGGGGGAAAAGGCAGGGAGAACAGGTCAGATGCCGTAATCACTGCTGGGAAATTTCTACGATACAGGAGTGTGGTGGTTCCCCCACCTGGGGGGACGGGAAGCAAACAAGGGACCAATTTCACATCCTAGAAGGGGCATTTCAAGCCACATCAGAGGTCAAGGAGGAAGGGTCCTGAGAAGCTCGATTTAAAGAGTCGCATTTCTGAGGAGGGAGGGAATTTGAGGGGGCAGAGGAAACCTGTATTTATTATAAGTCGGGGTGTCCCCCCGCCACCCCATCTGTCCCAGTGCTTCACTGCTTGCTGCTGGGCTCCGGGCTGCTCTCCCCTCTACAATGTGCAGAGCTAGAGTCCCCGCGCCCGGCACACACGGGCCTGTTACTAAGATCTCCCCTATAAGGGGGACTCAGACAGCGAGGGGCAAGGGAGACCTGCACAGGGAGGGGGTTTCCATTGGCCCCACTCACTGCACCAGGTTCCTCCGACCCCAAGCCTAGCTGTCGGCCCTGCTCCTTCTAGTCACTCTGACAGGTCCCAGCCCTTCCTAGCTGGGCCTGAGAACAACACCCCCACGAGGGCAAGAAAGGGGTCGGCCTGCCCCAGGGCCCAGCCAGGCACGGGGCCCAGAGCTTTGGTCCCCTGTGACCCACAAAGCTCACAGTGGGGGCCCACCAGGGCAGGCGATGGGAAGGTTAAAGCCAAGTGCCGTGGGCACAGCTGCCTCTGGATCTTGCCCATGGAAGTGAAGCAGGTCAGACCCGGGGGCTGGGCCCAGACAGGGCTGCCCCCTGGCACAGCAGTCACTGGCCTACGTCCTAATGGCACTTGATGGTGTAACAGCCCCGCAGAGTCCGTCCTGCTGCCCGGAGGGACTGAGCGCCGGGCCCCAACGCCATGCGGGAAGAGCGACACCCACGGCCCAGCCCTCCCGTTAGCCCCCTCAGTGGTCACCCCCCAGGAGAGGTGATGCTGCCTCTGACCCAGTCGACATTTGGCTTGGACGAAGAGCTGGTTCTCTCTGGAAATGCCAAAGTGGAAGGTGCAGCAGGAGGGGGAAGGCAACGAGATGGAGAGGGGTGGCTGCCAATGCCGGAGTGCCAGAAGTGCCCGGAGCAGCCACCGCTCGTTGGGGCGGCCACGGAAACGACAGGCCACAAACTGCATCAGGGCACATTCTGCCGGGCCCTGCGGGTTGTGTTGTGGAACCGACGAGGAATGCTGGGAGCTCAGCGAGCCAGAGATCAGAGAGAGGGCCCTGTCTCGCCAGGCTGCTCGTGGGAAGTCAAGCTGTGCCGAGAAATGGGGAGCCAGCCAGTGGGGTCAGCACAATGCAGACCTGGGGCGGGGGGGGGCCTGGGGCTGGTGCCAAAGTCTCATATCGCCAAGGGGCTCAGCTCCAATGGGCGTTTCCTGAGGCCACTCGCAGGAGCTATTGAAGCTGAAGATGTCACCACACTGGGACTTCAGTGGGGGGCTTGTCGCACTAAATAGGTGGCTCCAGAGGGGATGTTACGGTCTTCGCCCCGGCAGCCTGCTGGTGGAGGAAGCAGCGTGTTCCCGTCGGCCCCACTCCCCGGATGGAGGGCAGCAGTTAAGGCAGGCCTGTGGGCGTGGTCCCCTAGATGGAGGGTGCTGCTTTGTACTGTAGATGCATGAGTCCAAATGTGACCGTCTCCCCGCAGCTCAAACGTGCCCCTTGGCCCCCACTTTGGGCTAAACCAGCTAGGGAGGTGGAGTGTGGCTTTGGTTTAAAGTTACCCGTTAACTCGACATCTCCCCTCTCCTTTGGAGTGGAGTGGCAATTGGTATGAGGCAAGGATCTCTGCTTCACTGGGCACCGGCAACTGTTGGGAGTCACGGGGCCCAGCCGGGGCTGCTCCAGGAACATCCTTCAGAGCAACACTGGCAAGAGGCTGGGATCTAGGCCAGGGAGGAGGAATCAGGTCGGGATGGAGATCCAGCTCCTGGAAGGAGCAGGCTAAGGGACTAGGGAGGATGGAGAGGCTCCCTCAGGATACAAGTCCCCCTGGGCCTGGGCCTCATCAGGGGGACTGAGGAGTGGGATGCTGACCCCAGACAGGCCTGGCTCCAGCTCCAGGGGCCTCGGGAGATGTATCATGGGGGAGGGAATTACAGGGAATGGGATCAGTGGCTCCAAGTGGGAAGATGAGACTGGGGGGGGGGGATGGCAAAGGCAGGGCTCTGGAGGCTCCGCACTGGAGGGACTAAGATTAGGAGAAAGCCACAGGAAAGGTTTCGCAGCAGCTACCCCGCCGGGCGGAATGCCTCCAGGGGCCGGGGACGCTGGGCTCGGGGCAGCTGGTATTTGCCCTTTGGAGAGCTAGAGCACCGTCCTCCTGGGAGGCTGGCCGGCTGCTCAGGCAGTTGCTCTCAGAGCAGCACGTGGGGGGAGAGGGGAGGCGTTGGGATGTACAACCCTCCCAACCCCCCATGGCAGGAGTCGCCCAGCCAGGCCCACCCCCCATGTGGAATCCGCTCCCAGCCTGGCCACAGGTGCTGTGCATCAGGGAGGCAAGCGGGGCAGGAAGCAGAGCCCCATTTGCGAGTCGGAGCGTGGGGAGCCCTGCACCCCGCAGTGCAGAGACCCCAGGGCTACCAGGGGATGGGCTCAGACCTGTGCCTGGGGCTACAGAGATTTCCCCGCTCTGCAATCCAACATCCCGCCCTGCGCCCCAGTCCGAGGGGCGACTGGCACTCCCACTGGGGCCCAGGAGTTGACTCCTTGCCCGACCACTTCCTCCTGGCTGCTAGTGAAGGCACTGAGTGAAAGTCCCCTGCAGAAATGGGCTGCCAGGGCACTGGAGGCTCTACGGCGCCCGCAGCTGGCCGAGGCTGGTATAAACATCCTCAGCTTCGCTCAGCTCTTCGAAAACGGGGATGAGGTTGAGCAGCTCCGTATCCGCCATGTCATCAAACCAGGACTGGACGGGCACCTGCAGGGGGGCAAGGAGGGGAGGGGAGCGTCAGCCGGAGCCCCACAGAGAGGCTGGGCTCAGATCCTCAAAGGGGTACGGCTTGTCTCTGCTCCGCTCAGCCGTGGCCCGGGGGGCTCACCGCGTTCTCCGGGTGGAAGATGTAGGAGGCTGGCGAGTTGTCCAGGATGAGCGTCTTGTGCAGGTCCCGGCCCAGACGGCTCAGGTCCTTGACGTAGCAGCCCTGGTGGAAGACACAGGACTCCCGGAAGAGCCGCGCGCGGAACACCCCGCACTTGTCCAGAAGGTCCGTCACCGGGTCGGCGTACTGGCAAGAGCAAGAGAGCGCCCTGTTGTTGTTGCCCTCGGTTCCCCGCCATTCCCCGCAGCCGAGCGCCAGCAGGGAGCGGCTCGGCAAGCTCAGAAGATCCCCCCACGGCCAGGCCAGCAGCACAGAGAACCTCTCCCAACCACGTCCCCTCTGCCTGGCAGCGTGGGGAGCACCCCCCACCCCCGGTTTCCCTTACCTTGGCCAGGCTGGCAGTGAAGAGGACACATTCAAACAGCTCCCCCATTCGCCTCAGGAATTCGTCCACAAAGGGCCTTTTGAGCACGTAGACCTAAGGAGGGAAGGGGCCATCAGCAGGGGGCAGGAGAGACGCTGGGGCAATGCTCGGGCTCCCTGCTTCTGCTGGCAAGCGTGGGGGGGGAGGGCCCCCAGCATTGGCCTGGGGCTTGTTCTCAGGCTGATGGAGCCTGGTGCCCAGCACTGCCGGCCCAAGCTGCCCCTTGGGAACCAGCTGGAGTGGCTCTGGCAGCAGCACAGAGGGGCTGCCCCATGCTCATCGCTGCAGCCCGGGCCCCCTCCCCCAGCCACACCCGTCACCGAACCCAGCCCCGTCGAGTCCATCTTCCTCCGGCGCCAGCAGCCGCCTCCTGAAACAAGTAATCAAGAATAGGCCGTGCTGCCTGGTAACAGCCTATCCTGGATTACTTGAACCGGGCTACGGCCTCCGCAGATCCTTCATGGCTCTGGGGAATGGGGCCTCCTCGCACACAGGACGGGACGGGACCCGCTCCTGGAACGGATCCTGATCACAGCGCCGCCCCCCCCCCCCCATCAGAGGGACTCACTTACCTGGTGCAAGGTTCCCTCTATCTCCACAGGCACTATGAAGTCAGCATTGTTGATTGGCTGAAAGGGAAAGGAATCAAGGGGTCTGTTAGCACGAGAGCAGCAGAGGGGGTTCCCCAGCGCCCCAGAGGGCAGCAGGAAACCAGATCAAGAACATGCATGCCATGGCGTCTCCACATGCATCTGGCTCTGTCTGGGGGAAGATGGTGTCGGAGAATTTTGCTTTGGCGGGGGAGGAGCATTGCATGAACAGCCTCTAGGACCCGCTCCAAACCCCAAGTGCTCTGCTGTCCTGCCAGCGGGGGCGCAGCAGATCCCGACCTCCGCTGCTGCCCCAGCCCCTCCAAGAACATCTCACGCCTCGTTCCCAGCCCTCGGCGCCCACGATGTGTCACCTGTTCATTGGGCATTCACTGTATCTGGGATTAAGTATTCTCCATGGCTAGCAGTGGTTCAGAACCCAGCTCCTGAGAGCCAGATCCACCTGCTCCTGCCCGCAGCACCGTCTCTTCCCACCAGCAGCCTCCCTGGGCCATCCCTCCACACTACTCCCTGAGCAAGCACGTGGGGTCACCTTAAAGGAGCTGTGCACCAGTGTCTCATCCAGGTCGATCACCACGCAGATCCTGCCCTGGTCCCGCTGAGTCACCTCGGGGAGCAGGCACGTCCCGGGAATCTGCAAGCAGATACACACCCAGCTGTCAGAGGGATTCGTGGAGCAGCCTTGGCCCCGGCTCATATTAGGGTCACACGTTGAGTTGCCCCTCCCCAAAGAGGGGCTTCTCCATGGAGATCAGGGCCAGTGGAACTAACTAGCAGACACCTCCCCCACACACACCTTGGAGAAGGCTCCTTATCTCCAGCAGCTCCCCCACCTCACACTGAGTTGGGGTGTCCATCCATGTCCTGACGCTAGAGAGAATTCCTCTGGGGACCAGCAGGGAGACTAAACCAGGGGTTCTCAACTGGGGGTCGGGACCCCTCAGGGGGTTGTGAGGTTATTACATGGGGGGGGTCACGAGCTGTCAGCCTCCACCCCAAACCCCGCTTTGCCTCCAGCATTTATAATGGTGTTAAAGAAGTTTTAATTTATTGGGGGGACGGGGGTCGCACTCAGACGCTTTCTACGTGAAAGGGGTCACCAGTACAAAAGTTTGAGAACCACTGCTCTAAACATCCCTTCCAGATATCTCGGTGATACTGCCTCATGACCCCGAGCCCTGTACAGAATTATTGTCCTCCTTGATCCTCATCTGGACCATCCTGAATTCCCACTGGGAGCAGCCAGGGACTGGGGAGAGACCTCATGCCAAAGCTGCACGGACTATGGCACATAAGAATGGCCAGACTGGGTCCAACCAATGGCCCAGCTAGCCCAGGATCCTGTCTTCCGACAGTGGCCGGAGCCAGGTGCTTCAGGGGGAGTGAACAGAACAGGGCAATTATCAAGTGATCCAGTCCCAGGTTCTGGCAGTCAGAGGCATGGGGTTGCATCTCTGCCCATCTTGGCTAATAGCCATCAATGGACCTATCCTCCATGAATGTATGTCGTTCTTTTTTGAACTATGCTTCTGACCTTCACAACACCCTCCGGCAACAAGATGGTGGCGCTAAGAGATTGTGACCTTTATACCTTTTCTCCAGCGGAGGAGCCGTCCCCATCCCACAATGCTCAGGGACGAGTGAGGAACTGGCCTTTGAAGCGAGGGGGAGCAAGGGAATGTTACAGTCTTAAGCTTCTCCACCTTCCCTGGGAAGGCAGTTCACTCTGGGCTGGAGCCAACACCCAAGCAAAATCTACAGGACTCCCACTGATACTGTGGGGTTTGGATCAGGGCCTGTTTCCACAGGAGAAGAAGGGGCAAATGCTGGGGAGATCGGAGCCGGAAATCTCAGCCACCCACACAAATACCCGGCGGCTGCTCAGCACCTACCTGGTAGAACTGGAACTGAAGACACTGCAGCAGATCGGACTACAGCAGGAAAGAAGAGGAGAAACACAGTTATTAGGGTGACAACCGGCAGCAGAAGAGAGACAGCGTGGCCCCAACTGAGCTGCGGGACTAACCCGCCCCTTAGCCCTCGCCATCCGGGGACAGCACAGAACTCCCCTCCAATCTGCTGCCATGTGCTTACAGCAATTCTCATCTGAGAGAAGGGGAGAGAAATCAGGTAAGAAATAATCAAAGGCTAATGAATATCAGCACAAGCACTGGGTCAGCTGGAGAACATGAGAATTAAGACAGATCAAGCAGGGAAGGGCTCAGAGACAGAAACTGCAGCAGGTATTTCTCTCTCTCTCTCTCTCACGTTCATGCAGTGGCATATGGTGACTTGTTTATGGAGAAGGGTCCCAGTGCTGCCACCTGGTGGAACATCCCCATCACAGCAAGTGGGGGTACCCGCATACACACCCGCTCTATGACCTTTCGAGGAGATGGGTGCAACTTTAGGGGGCTGTGCTTGGATCAGAGTTCCTTCCATTCATGTCTACAGCAAGGCTACAGCACCAGACTCCCTGACCCTTTGGTTTACTATGATCAATGACGAACAAGCTTTGTTCTTAAGACACAGGCATGTCCGGTGTGTCTGACCCCACGTAGGGGTCTAGAGGGTCAGTAGCCCAGCTCCAGGTCCCCCCGCCCTGCAGCCCCCTTACCTTAGCGATGGTGCTGGGTTCCTCCTTGTGCAGTGCATGCTCCCCACCGCAGCCTGACTGACCAACATTCTGTGCGCGGAGGCAACAGAAAAGGGCCTTGAATATGTTCCGGCCACGAGGTTTCTTGGGAGAAGACTTGGACACCAAGCCTGGAACAAGGGGAGAGAACCACAGCCAAGCATAAGCAGGATGGACACCCGCACAAAGCCAGCTCCCCACGCAGGATACAGACCAACCACTCGGTATTGCAGGGTCTGGCGGGAGAGATCCAGTCCACCACAACGTGCCTGGGGACCAGCTCAACACAAGAGCTGCAATCAAGGAGGAATACGGGCCCCAAAGGGCAGGACCAGGCTGGGAGGAGGGGACAAGTGAGCCCCTGAAAAACGAACCATAGCAGAAATCCAAGCAAAGGACTGTGGGCAAGATTCCTTGAAGGAAGGAGTTGATTCAGCCCAACAGTCCTCACTCATCCATCTGCTAACCCACCACCACGCATCCCTCCCCATTACCCCAGCCTGTGCCAAAGCCGTGAAGGCTACAACTCTCCCAGCCCCAAACTGGGAGGGACCCAGGACTGCAATGTTGAGCAGCAACCAGAAGGTGGCGCTGCAGACCCACAAGTCCCCAGCACCTTTGAAGTACAGTCATGTCCGGGAGCTGCTGCAGCCAAGGGTGGGGAGTGGAAGGGGAAGCCCCCAGGAGAAGGGGGAGCTGGCAGGCTGGTGCAAGGGGTGAGATAAATAGCCCCTGGCTCAGAGCCAACGGTGGGGAAAACAGCCTGGGGGCATGTTTCACAGCCCCCTAGAGCGATCGTTAGCCAACTGACGGTCACTGAGCCTGGATGGAAGGTGAGCTGGGAACAACACATACTGTAGCCCCCGAGGGGAAATCCAGCCATTCTTGGGCACCAGGCAGTAAAAAAAAAAAATCTGCAAGGTTTTTCCCCCAAGAAAACCAGGCAGCTGTTCACAGGGCGGAGAGGCCATCCTGGGCTCTGAGCCGCTGGGCTAGGGAGGAACAGCAGCGTCTCTGGGACCATTGTGCAATTGAGAAGCTCTATCCCTCCCTCCCAAAAAGAGTCCAAAAACGAAAGGCCTGATCTCCTCGCTAACGCTGGTGTAAAGCGGTGTAACTTGGCGGGAGTCAGCGCGGTCAGACCAGCAGGAGCGGCAAAGCAGGGCTGTAGCCTGCAGTTGGCAGGCCGCGCTCCGTAGCAGCTCCGTAGCCTAGCTCTGGAAACTGCATCCTTCCATCACCATAATCCTGGTGCCATAACTCCACTGCCCCGGGGCACCAAAGGGTCCCTCCCTCGCAATCTCTCGCTCCACTCCCTCCGCGGTCATTTTGCACCCCAGGTTTTGCTCCCCTCCAGTCCCACCATATCATCTTGGGCTTTAGAGTCAGATGAGAAGAAATCCCATCACCTTCCATGCCACCTGAGTCACCAGCACTGCATGGGCACCTCCAAGCAACCAGGTTCTAAAGCCCAGCAGCATCCAAGCACAAGTGGGCACCTGGGCATGACAGGACTGAGGGGCCAACTCCAGGCACAGGCCAACTCTTCCAACTCTCCACCACCACCAGTCTCTCTTGAGCACAGGCTGCCCACTAGGCCAAATGTTGTACCACACACCACGGAGGTGATGTGGGGCTTATCTGCTCTTGGGACCCAAGCCGGGATTTGAACCCAGGGCTCCAGAAGTGCCCGGAATCCTTCAAGGGCGCTGAGCACACGAAGCCCTTTGAGTAAATGTCTTAATGGAGAGTCACCCCTTCCTTATCTGTGCCCCACCTGCCCTGGCATCTCCCTGTCCCAGTGCAGCGCAGGCAGACACAGCCCATGGGCCAGAGGAGCAGGCAGAGAGGCTGGCGAGTTGTAGTGAAACCCATGTGAAGAGACTTCACATCAGCACGGCTGTGCAGCCACCCTGCCTGAAGCCCCAACACATACGGGAAAGCAACACGGCCACAGCAAGGCACAGGGGGCTGAGGGCTAAAGGTTCTCCCACCATGAACTCCGCCACCGACTCATTGTGTAGCCTTGGGCAAGTCCCGTCACCAGTCCTGCAACCAGTACCTTCTTCAGGGGGCTGAAAGTGCCTCATGCATCTGCATGCTCACAGCACACAGCCGGGGGTGCCTCGCCTGGCAGGCTTCATCCCTGTCCCATCCTGGAGAGATCTGAGCAGAGTGTCCCCAGGATTGTAACTGGGGAGAGGAACTTGGGGCCAGCAGCAACCCCAACCAATCAATAATCTGTGTCTAGAGCTCCCTGTGCCGGCTCCTGGCAGCGAGAAAGATCAGGCTGAGTCCCCATCCCGCTACGATAACTGCAGCAGCATTTCCTCTTTCTCTGGCGCCGTGCTCTGGCAGACGAGGTTAAATGGCGTTAATCACCCCAGCTGCACTTGGCGATGGCTCCCCTCCCGAGAGCCCTGGCCTCACACCAAGGGAGCCGTTCTCCGGGTCAGGGTGCAGAAGCTGTAGGACAGCACAGAGGGGGCAACTGGGCAGACAACTGGCTGGCTCCAGAGAGTCTGTAAAACTTTAGTCTTACGGATCACGGGCCAATGGTCTCCTCGCACCAGCCACCTCCCATTTACAGAGACAAATGCAGTGGTTCGCTCCCAATCGTGACAAGAACCATTGCAATGGATGTGCCAGCTAAAAGCAGGGCTGGAACCTCTGGCCACCCCGCCTGAGCCCAACACGCTCAGGGCTGGATCCGTTAATGATAAACCTGCTGTTTGCTTTGCTGACAATCCAAAGGGACAGGCTCTGCGGGGTGCTGGGAGAGCGCTGAGGGAGGGACCCTCAGAGGGAGGGAGGGACCCTCCAGAGCTCCTGGAGGCAGCAGGAGGCACACAGGGTACGAGGTGGAAACTGACAGGCGCTCTGCCCTTCATGGAGTAGCCTTCAAGGGTGGAACAAAACAGTCCCCACCACCCTGCCCACACACACACTCACCCACCCAGCACCTTTCCCGGGCTAAGATTAATTTCTAATGCCTGCTGCATTTCCTCGTTCCTCCCTGGTCAGAGAATCTCTTCACAAGCGGATCTGAAATTTCCTTTTTAAAACGTCCATTTTGGGCTGAAACTCTTTCCCCGTCTCCTTCACAACGTTGAGCTAAGCACTGGGAGGGAGGAAGCACCTTTCACTCCTCCACCAGCTGCAGAAGCTCAACGGCCAAAGCAACCGGCAACCAAGAACCCCCAGGTCACATTCAAACTCAGGTCTCCAGATCAGATGCTCCCAGCCCCGTCACTGCATTAACTGCTCTCTGGGGTTTCTCCAAACCCAAACGTGCCAGGAACGTGTCCTTAGGGGAATGAACGTTGAGAACGCCCTGCCGAAGAAGATATAGGAACAGAGGATTTGCTATCACAGGAGCCCGTGGGCCCAATGTGTCCAGTATCCCAGCTCCAGTAGTGGCTGCTACTAAATATTTCCTGCCCAGTTACTCCATGCTGAACATTCAGGGCAGGGTAAATTGCCCCCTCAATAAGGAAATCTGATCACCTCTAAAACAAATCAATTGCAAACAAAAAGTAGCCATGAAAATGGAGGAGAAGGCATGGCAGGGGAACCCCAAAGTCCAAGTGCATGTCTACACATGAAAGTTAATCCAGACTAAGGTAGGGTGTGAATATAAAGCAGTACATCAGGAATAGCTATTCTGGAGTAACTCCCCGTGGAGACAAGCCTTAAAAAAATCTCTCTTTAAAGTACGGACTTCAGTGTCCTGTGTCCAGTTGGCTTCACTCTCTCAATCCTGGGGACATTTCAGACCACCCTGGAACCCAATCAGTTCTTTCTCTTCTCCTGCAATTAGCGCCTGACCCATAGATCCACTCCCACCTTGGGGGAATGTTTCCAGGTTGTGGTTTTCTATTTTCACGTTGGGCAGGGGGAAGGAGGCAACTTTCCTGATACTGACTAGCCAATGAGCAGTTCAAGACGCCTTCTCCGCTCTCCAAGCTTTATGCTCATCTTGAACCCTAACATAACCCCACCCAGCTCCCTCTCTGAATTTGCATCTCCATCTGATGCACCAGAAAGCAAGGAGGACAATTGCAGACAGTGAGTCAGCAAGGAGGCTCAAGGGGGGCTTTGTTAGCTGACGATAAAGACAGTGTGTGCAAAGTAGGGAGGGGATCCTAAACTTTATTACCTCAATTGGCCTTCCAAATTACCCCTGTTCTCTCAGGACAGCAGCTTGTTCTCTCCAGCAGCCCAACCACTTTGGGAGGTTTCACCCCATGCGCCCATATCTTAAAGAGCAGCAGTCCCAGCACAGCCATCTGCAGTGGTGGCAGACCCTTGCGACAGAGAAAATGGCGAATCCCAAGCTGGGAGCTAGCTGCAGCAAAATCATGGCACCTGCCTGCAGAACCAACCCTCTCAGCTATTGTCCTCTCCCACAGCTTTGCCTGGTCCTTGCCGCTGAGTCGGTAGCCGAGGAAGAGGCATGAGCTGCACACCATGTTTAACGGTGCTATTAGCAAAGTGACGGCGCAGAGCCCGAGAAGCAACTGCAACAGTTGCCTCCTGCAAAAGCTGGCCACAGCAGGACTAGGAGGACAGGCTGGGGCTACTGAGGCAGACAATGACCCAGCTGCATTGCCTAAGGCAGTATGAGCAAGGATTCAAGTTGCTGCCCACGAGGAAGACAGAAGCAGGTGGTAGAGGCACCTGGATACCAGCAAGACTCCACGATGGAAGCACTTGTTAGGTTTTGATTCACTCTCAATGATTCTCCTGCCCAGCCCAGAGAGAGAGAGCGAGCCCCAAGTACCCGCCTCATGGGATTCCTCCCCACACATACATCTCCCACAACGTGGCTCACACGTTCATTCCAGAAACAGCAGGCAAGTTGAGATCAGCTTCCGTGCTGGGTCGGGCTGCCGGGGCAGTACCAAGAGAAGCGTTTTTGCAAGGAGCCCTAGCTTGAGAATGCTCCAAACCATCCCAAAGCACATTAGAAGGTTCCTAAACCAGAAGGGACCACTGTGATCATCTAGTCTGCCCTCTCGTGTAACGCAGGCCATAGGACGCCCCTGAATTCCCTAGTTTACCAGTAATGGAGAATTCACCACAAACCCTGGTAAAATTGTTCCAGTGGTTAATTCCCTTCACTGTTAAACAGGTGTCTAGTTTCCCCTCTCAATTTGCTGAGCTTTAACTTCCAGCCATTGGATTCTGTTAGACTTTTGGCTGCCAGATTGAAGAGCCTGTTAGCAAATTTTCATTCCCCCCGTGGGTACTTACGGACTGTGATCAAGCCACCCCTTAACCCTCTCTTTGTTGAGATAAATAGATTGAGCGCCTGATGCTGTGAAGAGGAGAGAGCGATGCAGACCCTGTGTGTCAGGCACGGGGGTTGCATTACTTTAAAACCAAATTTCCACTATGTGTTAGTCTGTGATCTGACCTCACTGTTGCTAATCGAACACTTCTGTCATATGCAAATTTGTCTAGGGGGTCACCAGTGGCTTGAGAACACATGTATGTGTTTTAAAGGGGGAGAGAGATGGGTAGTGGGTTCCGTAGGGCCAACTCCCAACCCATGGCATAACAGGGTCAGGGACATAGCTACCATATGGCTCCCAAATGGAGACTCCAGAGCATTTCCAGCATCACTTGGTCCTTTAAGGGCCAAAACACACTAAGTGGAAAATCCTGTATTTCCTACTGTATATGCCAAGGCGCACCAACGTTTGGGGACATGGTGGTGAAAGTCAATGCATGGATCAGCCAGCAGCTCTCAAAATAGCCAAGACTGACGTCAGGTATAGTAACCCAGTTTCCAACGCAGCTCTTGAGAGGGAGAGACAAGCGACAAGGAGCCAGAGGCAAAGGTACAGGAGGATGTGGTACATATGGTATCCAACCACTTCTCCTGAGCTAGCAACCTGGGTACCACTGTCACAGGTCCAACACCCAGCAGGGAGCTGGGATGGCTGCTCTCCAAGACAGGCTGCGACGGACCCCTGGTCTCATAAAGGGTGGCAAATCTGTGCCAAGGGAGCCAGGATCAGGGACAGGGAGAGGGGGAGTGAGCTGGAGAGGTTTGAGGGATACCAAGTACCATTCGTGAGAAGAATCCAAAGTCAATGGAGACCTTTTCCTTGGCCACAGCATGGATCACTCCAATTTCTTCTATGATCCAATAAACACCTTTCCCCAAACAGCTCCAGCTCCTCATGGGCTCCCAGCACAGGGCAAGAACGGATCTGGCTTGAAGTTCTCCTCATTGTTTTCCAGGTGGACGTTGCCGGGCAGGTCCCGGAGCTCTCTGCAATAGCAGCAGCCCAGTGCCAGGGAGGCTGGTCTCTGCAGCCCGTGGAACAGAGCAGGTGATGTTTCAGTCTGCCTGCATGAAATCCCATCAGGCAGGACAATTGGGAGCTGGAGGGCAGGACAGAGCAGCAGCAGCAGCAACTGGTCATAGCAGAGGTTCCTGTCCAGAGAGCTTTGGATGCAAATTGCAGCAACAATGGTTTGGGGGAAGAGATTAAAAAGATTTTGCACTTGGAGATGGAAAAAGAAATTGGACAAGTCACTGCAGTGAGAACACCAGCCCCTGCCAATCCCGGTATCTCTAGAGCACCCATCACCATAGTATCTTGGCACAGAGGGTGCTGTCATACTGCGGCCTTCATCTCATTTGTCCACCTCAAATTTTACTTTCCGGATCTTCCGTCTCCATGGTGGCAGTTCCAGCCGGATGCTGAAAGCAGTGGAGTGCTCACCACTTCCCTTCCCGAGCCATGCTGTTTGGGGACCCATCATTCAGAGCGGGGTGCGGGAGTGGGTCTTCAAGGTAGCTGCTCCCTTGATTTCCGGGCCTAAGTGCTGAAGGTTAATGAGAGGCAAGAATCCTGGGCTAAGGTAAGGCATGACCGCGGGGAGGGCCAGGCCCAGCCATTGCACGGAGAGCAGAGAGGCGCATCCTGCTGGTGACTGAACTTACCTCAGGAACCAAAGTGCCACCACTCTGTACCCTGGGGGTGGGGGCTTTAGTGTAGCACTCCCACCCAATTGTCCCTGTACATAACCAGACTCACCCTCCTACTTCAGCCCTTGGGGAGCCCATTTCTTGGTGCAACAGGACAGTGATTTACTTCCTATGAGGCACACAAGGGAACCCCCCGTTCTGTCACTCCCCCACATATCATCCCCCCCCCCCCCCAGCTCCACTCCAGGCCCACACTTAATCCATTTGCTGCCAACGCACGAGCAGTTACTCAGTGTCAAAAATACACTAAGCGCATCCTCAGCACGTCTCAGTGACCTGGCCCGGGGCCCCGTAAAGCAGGGTTGCTAGATGGGAGGGACGAGCTTACAGAGTCAGGAAGGGATTGGGATCGTCTCTCTTTGTGGGGTCAGGGGGAATTAGCTACTCCTTCTAGGAATCCCAAGTGGAAACTCCCTCTGTCTGAAGCCTGTTCCCAGCATGAGAAGATCAGGGCAAGGCAGCAGAGAGGGATCCCCTGGGATGAGACGCAGAGGGGAGGAAGGGTCTCTGGCTCCT